ATCAGAATTAACTATGCAAATAATGTCAATATTGCTGGAAATTGACAAAACTGCTGACTGATATGGTGGGGGCACAAATTAAGATTAGAAAAAAAAAAGGTTTAGTAATGAATTAAAGTAAAGGAAGCTAATCAGAATCATTGCCAGAAGACATGCTCCATCCGGGGGAATCAAGATTAGAATATATATGTAATTGTTAAGCACTGATATCTATTCCTTGATGTGACACTCAAGATATCACCCTTGGGTGGATGTGCTCATCCTAAGTGTTTGACCCGGGAGCCGCGATTTGGCTCTCATGGTCAACTCTATATTATATCACCAATGTATATTCCTGAGGTTTCTTGTTGACCAAAAAGAAGGCCGAGGCTTCTCAGTGACACGTGCTTGATAAATATTAAACCAGATTTATTTTTCCACCAAATCACAATTTGCATAATTACCTAACCCGGATTTTAGGGTTCTTCGAATAGTGCTAATAGAATTTTGAGATGCCAGGTTACTTCCCGGTCTTTGCTTGCCATGGGAAACATGTAATATTATAATGCAAGAAAGAATTTTAATGACATCATTGGTTTGAATCACGTAAAGCATGCACCTATAAAACCAGCTGCATATCGTCTCCTCAGAATATCCGAACTAAACTCCTTTTATCCTTTGTCAATAAGCACCCTTCAAACCAAGAGGAGATTCCCCATTTTTATCTCAATTTGATATCTGTTTCTTTCCTGGTTAATTAGTAGTTTCGTATAAGCGGAATGGATAGGTCTCCATGCAGCGTAGAGGATGCCAATCTGAAAAAGGGGCCCTGGACTCCAGAGGAGGATCAGAAGCTGGTTGATTACATTAACGAACATGGCCGTGGAGGTTGGAGTGCTCTTCCAAAGCTTGCAGGCTTAAACAGATGTGGTAAAAGTTGCAGACTAAGGTGGACTAATTATCTGAGGCCTAATATCAAGAGAGGAAAATTCACTGAAGAAGAAGAGAGAGTTATTATTAACCTTCATTCGGTTCTTGGAAACAAGTACATATATTTTTTTCTCATATATGCTTAGTTTTCTTAAAAGATTTGGAAATTGGAAGATCTGTGCATATTAATATGCTTGGAGTTTAGAAAAACATCTAACATCTTTGCTTACCTTCCTTTTGCAGGTGGTCCAGGATTGCTACTCATCTTCCAGGACGAACAGATAATGAAATCAAGAACTTTTGGAATACCCACATCAGGAAGAAGCTCCTGAACATGGGAATAGACCCTCACACCCACAAGCCAAGAACTGATCTTGATCATCTTTTAAATCTTTCCCGGTTGCTTTGTGCCACACAATTAGGCAACCTGATGAACCCTTGGGACACTGCTTTTAAACTACAGGCTGATGCCGCTCAGCTAGCCAAAGCCCAACTATTGCAAAACCTAATGCAAATTGTGAACACAAACAAACTTGCAAATTTGGAGAGTGCTAGTTTCCTTGGATCCCAAAATCCTTACTCATTTGAAGGATACTCAATGGAACAGGCACCCTCTCTGCTAAAGAACTAGCCCCAACACTTCAGAATATCCAAAATAAAGCCGGTGCAATCCCTCAAACATCAAGTGACTTCCAGGCTGTAGAAAACCCACGGCCATATTTTCAAGGTGGATTTAACAATCAAAGTTTGAGCATTAATTCCTTCGAAGAAACTGAAGATGCACTTCCTGAGTTGGTTTCGGGATCTCCTGAGACTTCACAGATTAACCAGAAGGAAAACAAGACCGGCACAACACCAGACTCCACTAACTATGAGGCTTGGGAGAAGCTAATTATGGAAGATGAAGCCGATGGCTCCTACTGGAAAGAAATCCTAGAGTAAGTGTTCTCTCTTGGATTCTTCATTCATTTTCATTTCTTTGTTGCTTTGTTATTATGATATACGTTTTGAATTATTCATTTCTTCCTTACTTCTTTCAGATTAGTTCATGTTTTTAACTTTTTTTTTATCTTCCTGCCGTTGCAGTTTCACTTCATCCTCATCACCTGTCTCATGGTAGAGAACATTTCGGCATGATATTGATAAGGTCTTCTACAGTTACATCAGAATGATTAATGAAAATAAAAGAAAGAAAGAATTAATGAATGTTGAATCTCATTCGTATTAATGATTCACTTTTGGATGTTAGTATTTGTTTTAGTCACTTAAAGTCGGAATATTAGTTGAATTGTTGCCCTTTAGGTGAGATTGTTTCCGTCCGATCTAAGCCATTGACAGTTGCACAAACCATAACCAACCAAAACCACCCCTAACCTTAACTTTGTATTCAATTTTGCAAACTTTTAATGGACTTTTTTTCTCTTTCTTTTCTTTTCTATTTTCCCCCTCTTTGTGAACAGTAAGAATTTTTCTCCCTTATTAATTATTTTATATCCATTAACTGAATTTAGGAAAGATAAGAGATTTTTCTGCCATTTATTTGTCCATCGTTAAAAACCTTAGAAGATGGGGTTACTTTGGTGGTGCAAGCATTTGCAAATTTTGAGTGTTGTTCCTGGAATTGGGGCTGTTCAAAGGCTGCTAGACCCAAACCGGTAAAATTGGGCCCAGTGGCCTTCCTTTCAAATTGGCTTGAAATTATTTGTTCAATTCGGCCCATGCTCTCCAATTTTGTAATTTATTGTTTAAACATTGATTCTGAAGATTGTTGGCCCAATACCGACCTGCACATTAGAAGAATAGCATGAAGGGAGGGTTTCTGGAGTTTTTCTTTTGATTTTATCTCATCATATAACCAGAAATAACATAACAATAACATAAAGACAACAATTCAAAGAAAGAACAAACACAAATTATGTGATAACCAACTCAAGAATTAGACGTTTCCAATATTGAAAGATCCCAAGATCTCAATTGTCTAAGAAAAAGAAGAATCATTGTGCTGCTGTGCATAATCTCACTCTACTCAGAACAAAATCTTTCATAAACATACAAACAGACAAATACATGAAACGTGCCCATTAACATTCATAGATACAGATTGACCAAACATATTAATAGCATACAAAGAACCAAATCGATTCCATCTGCCTGTGTAAATGTTCATCACAAACTGAGATGTAATCTGAGAATCCGAAAACCCCTAAATCAAGCACCAAGGGTCAATACAATACAAACCATGGAAAAGAATTCACTTGCACTTCCAACATAGATCAGAGAAGCAATCAGGAGGCAAGGATTTGATTACAACTTACAAGCCACTGTAAGGGCATTGCCACAAACAACCAAATTTCAGATCGCTTGCAGTAGAAAAGATAAATAATACAGCTAAAAGACAACTTCATTGAAACAAGGATTTTGTTTATTTCTTGTTCTATTTCAATTTCCAGCAGCATGGATTTGCTGTAGATTTCTTCATGCTCTATGATAACCAAAGATGGAAAAAAAGTAGATTGTTGATCGAAGTGCTGTAGCCAAAATGAGATAAGTTCATAGAATCATGAGACAAACTCAGCTGACTGGAAAGAAGCAATATTGTGGATTCAACGAAACAAAACCTTTTAAAAGTTTCCTTTGAATATAATAAAATGGATTGACAAGTAATGCTTGAGACAGCAACTTATTTGGATAAATAAGGAAAGACTCAGCAGTTAATTGTATAAGGAAACAAATATTGAAAGGAAATAAACCTAGAATTCAGCACTTATTTTTCCGTTATCTTTTAAAATCTTCAAGCCTCAAATAGTGGAGCATTGAGTCACTATGTTAATTTACACACATACAAGCATAACAGCATGAAGCACGTTCTTTTTTCACTAGTAATAGGCCAAAACATCCAAGCCTTTTACTTTGTAGACTATACAAGAGGAAGGGGAGAAAAGGAAAAAGTTATGGATAAGATAACGAAAGAACGCACCAAAGTCTTCTACACTTAAGTTCATCTTTGATGTTGACCATGCTTTACTAACTAGTTCATTTGATTCAAACAGAAGCATTTCTAAAATTCCCTGGAGAACAATAAAAAATTTCTAGCATCTACATGAGACTAAAATTTTGGAACAAAAACATACATGGGCAGGTTGTTTGTAAAGTAACACACAGAGAGCTTCTATTATGATAACGTAATCTACAAAGGTAGAATTACGTTGATATGAATGTAAATGCAAGAGGCAGTAAAATCTTTAACAAATAGGCAAAACAGTGAAAAAATATTCAGAGGATGTGAAACATCACAGTTGTTACGTCCAACAGCCATAAAGGGCACAAACACAGGATTTTGAGTACACGAGGAAATAGAGATACACAAAACCAGAGCAGTTCTATATTAGGTCAAGCTTGCAGCATACTTGTTGAAAAACAATAACACACCACATGACAACAATGTTCATATATCCCTAGCCAATACATCCTGCGGGAACCAACTCATTGAAAGTATAACTGTAATGCTTTGACCATGACCAGTAATGATGGACGCATAAACTATTAAAGAAGACATTAGGATACAAAACAAGTGCAAAGGGTTTGGGATCCAAATTTGTCAGATACGATAGCAGTAGAATCTGTTGGAAACCATTATCAAATGTGGTTAATGCCATAAAACGGGGATGCGAAGACAGGGCAAACAAAAATACAGTTATGTAAAACCAGCAGCCCATTCAACAAAGATATCATGAACCCTTATTCCATTTAAGTAGCTGGAAAAATAATAGGTAGTGTAACCCTAAAGTGAATCAAGAACTTTTCTCCTTTCTAATTCTCAGTCAATCATTAACAGTAATCAGCAGTTAATTGGAAATTAACACATCACTTGGCATTCAACTCTAAAAAGTTTTCTTCAATGGGAAAATTAAAAAGAAAATAAATTGATATTTTTAATCCATTTAAGGTGCTCAACTTTCGTTTGCAACTTAGCATGCAAACTGGAAGAACTTACCAAAATTAACCTTAGAGGGGCAAAAAGGAAGGAAACCCGGTTTAAAACAGATCATGCTTCCGACTTACCATACCTGATATTCAACAACCACATTAATATGCTAATTATCCACAAAACATGGAAGAGAATATAAACCATATCCTGAAGCTAAATTTCAGAGTGTGACAAAATGTTTTCATTCTGTTTTTTACTTACCAATTTTATATAGCAAGTTAGCAACCTAATCATCCAAACTCAAAAAGGGGAAAACCATCACATTTTTTAGGGAGGATTCAGATGATGCCATGACGGACTACCAACTTCATTATTTCAAAGAAAAAAACACCAGAGCAATCAATTCTTCAAACCCAAATTTGATCAAACATTTAAAGAAGCACATCAATTTATTCAAAGCAAATAAAAAGGAAAAAAAATTGAAATGAAAGTATCATTGGAAAAACAAGAAATTAAAATGAAACCATATGGCAAAACCCACTGATTAAACTTGCGAAAGTTCAAAAGTATAACAATTACTAAGCAAAAAAACTTAAAAGCCTCAAAGTACAGCTTAAATTCCCTAAAACGTCAAAGTATTTTGAAAAGTACCTATCTCCAGAGCACCGTGGACAGAATATACATGATTAACACCGAACATCATGTAATTGTTGTCAAGAGGCTATAACTAAACTCAAAGTAGCCAACCTAGTTATTTCACCACTGTACGAACTGATGTCTAAAAATGGAAAATGTGCGATTGGCTTCGCCTCCACAAGCTAGCACCAGGGTCCCAATCCTTATACAATTGCAACAACCCTCCAAAAACGACCAACCATGGAAACGAACCAAGCTACACCTTTTTCATCAAATTCCCTAAAAATTTGGTCAAACTAGAATAGAGTTCTCCTTCTCTTCCCCATCACTACAGCAAGAATTGGTCACAGTTTTCCTTACTTCTTCCTCACAACTAAGCACCTGCCTTCCATCAGTCCCTGCCACCTTCTCCTGACTACACTTCTCAACCTAATGCTTCTCCACCACCACCACTTCCCTTTCTTTCCTATTCATTATATCACAAAAGAAATCAGTCAAAACTGTTTCATACCCTGGCATTTTTGCATAACCCGGGAAATAGTTAATGTCAATAATAAGATACCGGTTTCCAAATCGGGTATCTCTTATCACATCAAAATTAAACAAGTTCAAATTCATGGCCCTTCTCAAACCCTTGGCAATATCCGTCATGAAACTCTGTGGCGGCAATTCAGTATCCTCCAAATGCATCATCTTATAATACTTATCATCACTTTTCTCATGAGTAGCCAAATTGGAAACTTGAGAAAAGGGTAGAGACCCTTCTAAACTATTCAATTTTTCCTCCGAAACATCAGGTAAAGACTTTCTTTTAACACATTTCACATATTCCCCAACCACATAAACCTTGAAAATAACCCCTCCATGATTAACAAATTCCTGCAAAACAATTGGGGGCTTAAGCTTGTTCAAACCTTCGTGGTTAAAAACCAGAGCCATTTTGTGTGATTTGGCGCTTCCATCAGCCACCAAGGGCTTTGCAATCACGGGAAACTTAAGCAATTCCCAAGCTTGCTTATCAAATAGGGTTTCTTGATCGTAAATCACAATCTGTTTAGGGATCCCAAAAGTTTCGCTTTGATTCTCGATCTTGAGTTCGGACACCACCTGGAGCATCGAAATCCTGTTGTGGAGCCGTTCGATTGCATCAGGAGAATCAATAATTACAGCACCAGGGTTTCGAGAACGGAAATCTTCAAGCTGGCTCTTCCAATCCTCACCGTACAACTTGTGGAGCACGCAATCGAACGGCCCTTGATCGACTAAAGGACGTTCCCTATCGATCTTAACCAGATCGATTCCTCGAGATTTTGCCTGATTCACCAACGACTCTCGGATGAAACTGTTCTCCTTCTTCGGTAAAAGCGCGTAACCAATCTTGAATCTTCTCTCCTCTCCTGCCATTGCTCTGATTCTTTTTCCTTCTCACTTGAATAAAAATCTCTTCTTCCACTTTCTCTTTTTCTTCAACGTTTGATTGCTTGATTCGTTAAACCAAACGCTCGCTTCTTCGCATTTCAGATTTTCAATGCAACCAAACGAAACGAAATTATGATTCATAAAAAGAATTAAATTTTCGGAATTTTTAGGGTTGGTTTTCTTTAAAAATATATATATAATTTCTGATTTTTTTTTCTGGTGGCCTTTTCCTATTAGCTCTGGAAAAATCGGAAAAAATAATTTCAGGTTTGGTAACGAAATGCTATATAGCTTTCGTAGAAGACTGAGTGGGAAAGGTATATATAGCCTCGACTAGGGTTAGATAAGGATAGGATGATACAGTAACCAGGATTAGTATACAGTAAGACACGTGGCATATTCTTTTAGGTTATATGCGGATTCGTGCCGCACAATTTAAAGGAGCAAATGGGAATGAGAGGCTTTGGGTGCACCGAGAATGGACGGTGGTGATTGGGGGTAAAAGTAAAAGTGAGTAATGGTCAACGTCTGATCGAAAAGATGCGGTGGCTTTCATTTATTTTTTTTAGGGGAGGCAATCTTTCGGGAACACTTTATACTATGGAATTTTGAAATGTGCGGGACTTTAATTTTGAAGCTACAAGCTTAGCCATACCCAGAACTTCTCTTTTATTGCCACGTGGAAAATTCATCCACTGAATGTTGGCACACTTTTTTGAGAGCTGATGTGGATAACAGTAGCACGTAAGGTTTTTTTTTTTTTTTTTTTTTTTCTCTTTTCCTTTTTACATGAATCGGTTAGAATATATTTTAAAAAAATATTTACGTATTTTTCAAAGATTGGAATTTTTGTTGTGAGATTTTTAGGTCTTCGATTCTTCACTGTCACCAAACAGGGGTGACATTTTTTCTTTGTTGTGGAAAAATACAACTAGAAGTTTACTTTGGCTAAATTTCATGTCATTGTCGGTAAGCATATGCACTTAGACAAAATAATGATACAGTTCCATTTATGAAAGTTATAATGTACAATCACTTGTCTTAGTTTGTGATATAATTTTTTTATATTATCATTTGTAATTAATATTAGGTACCGTTATTAAAATTTGTAGGATGAATAATATTTTATCTGCTTTCATGTGCGAATTCAATTATTCACTTGAGATAATTGAATAAAAGAAGTTTTCATGCTCATTTTCATTTGAATCAATAATTGAATTATCTAACGATTATTAAAGGTGATAATACTTCGAAGTCAATTAGATTTAATTTGATTTTTTTATAATAATATATGATATTATAAATTTTAAAAATTTAATTCCAATTCAAATTAATTTTTTTAAAATTAATATAATTTGAACCAAATTTTATAAGTTCGATTTGATTTATCAAAATTTAAAATTTATTTTTTATATATTATTTTAATAACATTTTAAATATGTTTAAATAGACTTATATATAAAATAATTATTTTATTTTGTACAAAATTAAAAAATATATATTAATAAAACTATATAATTCAATTTGATTATTATTATTTTACTTGATTCAAATTTAATATGTACATTTAATATTTGAATTTGATATAAATCAAATTAAAAAAATTGATTTGAATCAATTTGAATATTACGATTTTAAATTAATTTTTTATTTTTTCGATTTTTTTTTCATCACTAATGATTATGGTTGAAATTATCACCCTTAATTGATACGTAAAATCCATTGGTCAAATTGGCACACATTTCTCACAACCACTTGCTTAATTAATTGCTTCCAATCGATGCTCCTCCAAATTGAGTGGGTTTTATTTGGGCATGTGGGTCAGTTTCAACTTTCAATGGACAGCAAAATTATGCGCTTTTCAAAGATTAAAAAAAAAAAGGGTTGGCCTACACTGAGCGTGCACGGGCAGGGGGAAGGCAATCTTCGTGAAAAAGTTTCTTGATTTGAATTTTGAAGCAATTGCATTAGAATAAATTATCCAATGATTCTAAAATGGTTAATTTAGACATCAACTGGATAGGATTATCGAATATTCTATTAATGTCGAACCAAAAAAAGATAGGATTGTCGAATATTCTAATCATATGGAATCATTCCTAAGCTTCCACTCACGCATATTTTTTATAAACATAGCAAAATAATTGGAGATTGCTCCTCCAAATTAGGGTAAAAAAATTAGTCAGCAATAATTCATAATCTATTACAAGTGACATTAAAGTTGTAAACTTCTTTTTGTTTTCCAAATTTACTAAAAAATAACAACTTTATAGTGGTTGCTCCATTAATTAAAAAAAAAAAAAACTATAGTTCAAAATTTTCGTCTTTCAATAATTATACATTGAAAATAAAATTCCAAAATGAATAGAGAACAACTTCAAAGTTCATGCTCTGTCCAATGGCCAGCAAAATACGAGCTAATTTTATCATAATTTAGATTGATACATTTAATATGAAGTTTGCTCAAACTTATATATTTTAATATTTGAATTTAAAACATTATGTTTTATATATTTTTTTGTTTATTAAATCAATATTTTATTTGCATTATCAATCAATTTATAATTTCATAGAACATAAAAAAAAAAAATCAAATTTATATTGGGATTTTATATTAGTAGCCTTTTTCATCTCGAAAATTTAGAGAATAAGAAGAGAATGGCCTAATTCGATCTCAACCCTTCATATATTTTTTAAGTCTTTTTATGACTAAATCGAAAAACGATGAAAGCTTATATAAGCTGACTTTGAAAGTCTTAAAAGCACCAAGATCCAATGCGGAGGTTGGATTCTGTTTAGGTTTATCTTTTGTTGAAGCCACTAAGCCCAATTTGTTGAAATACATCTTTGGGCCAAAATCCATACTGGTCGTGTTTTCATTTTCTTTTTTTTTTTTTTTTTGATTAATTGTGGATTTGTGATTAAAAAGCCATGGTTGTAGTGTTTTTTTTTTTTTTTGTTAAATGGAGTGGTAGTAGATTTATTTATGCACCAGTTGAGTTTTTAAATTTAGGAGAAAGTAAAGCTTATAGAGGCAAATAACGATTTACATTGATGCAAGTAATAAAAGATAATATAAAATATAAATAAATAAAATTATTTTTTATAAAAATGAATGGTAAAAAAAATTCAAATTTATAATATAATATGATTTTTATTTTTTATTTTTGCATTTTATATAGCCAACTCCAAATTTATTGAATATAAAACTTAATTTATTGTTATTGTTGTAAATAAAGTTATAATAGATTACTTTGCATAATATACAAGGTATTGATAAGACAAATTTAATGAGAACGGTTAGGCAAATGACCAATAAAATTAATTGCAATTAAATTCCTTAAGAAAAAGCACATTTCACTCATGTATGAATATTTATTTGAATGTTTGGGGTTGGGTTGGGTTGGGTTTGGGAGTTTTGATCACTTTAGTACGTATAATGACATCTCTCTAACCAAATAAATAATAGCATTTATTAAGATCAAAAGTTGTAAATTTCATGAACAATTAACAAAAGGTTTGATTAAAAAAAGACATTATAACAATTAGTTTTCTTGTTTCCTAAGTGAAAGTCCTATGATTTTCTATTGTTGATGAAGCTTAAGAGATTAATTGGTAGGATTAATTAGTGGATATTTGTTTAAATCTTTGTGAAACAACATAGTTAATTTTTTATTAACAATAGTGTAATTTATTAATAAAATATTAAGCTCATAATTTTAAAAATAACAAAATTATGCTTTAAATATATATAAAAAATATTGTAAAGTGTTATTTCATTGAAATCATGGCAATGTCACTTTCAAAAAATATATCGGAAAGAATAGCAAATTGTGGAGATGGTACTGTTTTTGGTAGGGAGTAGGGACCATTAAAAGAATTGCTACGATGCTTCTTAAAAAGAAAAAAACGAACATATTAAATTGACTAATAAATGATTGATTTAATAGATTAAATTTATTTTTTTTGATAAAAAAATTTTAAAATTGAGTTTATTAATAATTATTATTAAAATTATTTTGAATATATAATCTGTAATTATTTATTTTAAATTATTAAATATAATATATATTATCTTGAGGGATTAAATAATTTATTTATTTTTAAATTTTGTGATAAAAACATAAAATTAAATTAAATTGGTGGATTGGAGTGGCCTAAAGGGCAGATAGGTAATTTTGAAAAAAATAGAAAACTAAAGAGAGGTAGAATTGGGTCATGCATGGAGCAACATCGGGGAAAAGCACGTGCGGTATGCCTCGGTTTGGTTGACGTAAGGCAATGATTGTCTCTCTATGTTTCTGTCGTTTCCCCTATTTGCACATGCTTGTCGTGGCCTACGTGTCACAATCTGTATATTTTCTTACCATTTTTTATATTATTAATTAATCCTTTGTTATAGTTTTTATTTGGGACGTTGATTACTATAATAATTTAATTTAATTATTTATTTATTTCATTCGCATTGTAAATATGCGTAGGCTTAAGCAATTATTTTAATCTATCATAAAATAAAGTGGTAAAATGTATAATAAATCCACATGGACGAAAATACGAAACGACAAAAATATTTAAAATAAAAAAGAAAAAAGAGAAGCTGACGACCGACAGCGCTGGTTTTTTTAACGTTTTGGGATTTAGGTCTCTGACCGGGGAATATTCTTTCTCTCGCTCTTTTTCTCTCATAAAGAAGAAAGAGAGAGAGAGGGAGGGGCGAGCTAGGGGAAGAAGTGTCCAAAAGGCAATTTATCTTCTCTCCCTTAGAATTTCTTCTCTCTGTTTGTCTGAAGGGGAAAAGGCTCAAAAAGAGCAAGAGAGAGAAGAGAAAGGGAAGGGAAATTGAAACGGAAAGGGAGAAATGGAAGGGAGAGAAGAGATAAAGGAATCCAAACCCAGTTTTCCTTTGAGCTTTTGGGAGGTGACTGTAGCTTCGACGGTGGTGATGGGATTTGTTCTGGGGCTCACCGGCGTTTATTTAACCATGCCTGCATCAGATTATAGCTTCCTCAAATTACCAAGGAGCCTTGAAGATCTTCAAATCCTCAGGTTTGTTGGCTCTCAAGTTAATTTGGAAAAAAAATTAACTTTCTTTCATTTTTTTTCTGAAAAATGGGAAATTTAAATCTGTGCTTGCCTGTGTTTTGTTTGTGATTGAAAGTATATAAAAAAAAAGTTGTCATTTTTGGATTTTTTTTTTTGCGGGAAATTTTTTGTTTTTGTGGCTAATGCGTTATTTCAGATTGCACGCAATCCGCTGAGTCGGTTTTTTTATTTCTCTTTTATCATTGATTCCTGTATGTTTTATTTTCCCTGTAATTTAACAAGTTGTGGGATCGGTCTTGTTTCAAGCCAATGTAGCTCTTTTTGTTTTTGTTATGATGAATTTGAGGCAATAAATGAATGGATTTCTTTGGTGGTAAAGAAAAATGGTGTGATTTTGGATAGATTGCATTGTATATCAGCTTATTAAAATCAATGAGCTTCTGTTCAAGGGTTCTATAGAAAAGACCGTTTTTTTCTCAACAAAAAAAAAAAAAAGGACGAGCCTTGAGATCTAGAGAAACTAAGAAGTGGATAAGTCTGGCTGGAATAGATTGGTTCTGGATGGATAGGTGAGAAGGATAACTGCAATAAGTTTTCAGAATAGAACTTTTGTGGTCAAGTCCTTGGTAACTAGGAGGGCCCTAGAGATTTTGTTGATTAGTGCTAATAGAATCAGATTTTTTATGTTGCTTGGCCTGCCCTTAAGATGCCTGTTTCTTATGGAGCCGTGATTGGTGATTCAGATTAAGTTTGATTCAAATTATGTGAGGATGAGTTCCACTTTTCTTTTCCCTTCTTTTAGTTCTTAAAAAGTTTCAGATGTTACCTCTCACGTGTTATATTTTCTGTTGGTGAAAAAGAGCATTTGGTTGGAGAGATATACAATGAATTAGTATGCAGTGATCCTTTCTGCTTCTGGGTTCAAAATCGAAGATTTTTTCTTATGAATCGTTGACTTGATAAACTTTGTATAATCTGTTCTTTGGGGTGTTCGTTGTGTTCCTTTGCTATCTGTTGATTTTTTTTTGTTCAATGTATCATGTAGAGATCACCTTGAAATCTACACAAGTGACTACACCATGCAAGTCTTGGTGGGGTATTGTGTAGTCTACATTTTCATGCAAACTTTTATGATTCCGGGAACTGTTTTCATGTCATTGCTTGCTGGAGCCCTGTTTGGGGTCTTGAAAGGTGTTGCTCTTGTTGTGTTCACTGCCACCGCTGGTGCTTCTTCTTGCTATTTCCTGTCAAAATTGATTGGCCGGCCCCTTGTTTTTTCCCTTTGGCCTGAAAAGCTGAACTTCTTCCAAGCCCAGGTGATTTTCAATTCCTTATCGAACCCATCTTTGCTTACATTGAGCTAAAAAGTGGAATAAGTTTTAACTTTGTGGTTGCAGGTAGCACAAAGAAGGAAGCGACTGTTGAACTATATGCTTTTCCTAAGGCTTACTCCAACTTTACCAAATACATTCATTAATGTTGCTTCACCTATTGTCGACGTGCCTTACCATATTTTCTTCATGGCAACTTTCATTGGGCTCATTCCTGCTGCTTACATAACTGTTAGGGTATTTTACTTCTCACTTCCATGTAAAGCTCGCATGTTAAGCATAAGCTAGCCTATTCTCTCTTTGGTTGATACGGCAGTTAAAACCTCTTAAATGCCATTCTTCATACTTTAATACCGTGCGCTTGTCTGTTTCTTCTACAGGCAGGGATAGCTCTTGGAGAGTTACAGTCGGTAGGGGATCTTTATGACTTCAACTCAATTGCAACTCTTTTCCTTATAGGGGTTGTCTCCGTCACACCTACGCTCATGAGCAAGACCTAATCAAAGCCTTTAACTGGATGAGCTTGCTTGTACGTGGGGTTTTAATCTCCCGTAGCCATTTGGGTTGCCAGAACTTCTGTTCAGACTAGCATCAAATAAATGCAATGTGCTGCTGCTGTTTCTCTGGTTAATGGAATTCAGACTGGTCGTGCTGATATTGAAGATGATTAAGTGATCAAATTCTTTGCCTGGCATTGTATTTGCTTTAACTCTTTCTCAGGTTGAGTTTGTATAGGGAGAGGAACATGAGAAAAGTTGGGGTAAGGCTGTTATTTCTTTCAGTTTCAATTTGATTGCCAAGAACAGTCCTCAGAATCTGTAACCTTTGTAGAAGTTTTATTACATCAAACATCTTTCTCAGTGTTTGTTGTGGTCTCAGAATTAAATTTTACAACTCAATTGTGGTTAAGAAAAAATAAAATGGACCATCCCTCAATGTAATGCATTTAATAACAATAATAAAATCATGAGAAAATGGCAGGCTTTATTTGCTTTATGCACAAGTCAACTCGGGACATGAGATCCCTCAGCTTTAATTCCAATTCAAAAATTTTCAGGGTATTCAAAGAATTCTAGGGGTTTCTTTTGAAGGGATTGCTATCAGAGAAAAGGGAAGAAACGGCAGCATTTTGCGCCGAAAAGTCGCCGAAGATGGTTTTGAAGAAATCAGATTGAGGTGAGACGGTGTCGTGTCCAGCCAGCGTTTCTGGTTCATTGGATTTCTTCTTTCCCATTATCGAGACATGGAGAGGAAGATTGAGATTGAATTGACTACCCTAGAAGGCTAGAACTACATTTTAGTAGGGAAAGACAATAATTGTAGTGCATCTTCTTTTGTCTGGTCCAAACGAACAAGTTTCTAACCCATGAATAGTAGCTCTAACATGGGCTTAGTCTCTTAGACAACTTGGTTCATTGTTAAGCAAAAAGCCTGTGCTTTAAAAATAAACCTGAAAGCCTTTTATAAGCCCAGTCAAGACGCCATAAAATTGATAAACTTGCAAACACATTTAATCAAATATTTAGGGTTACCAAAAAGGTTTTCCAATAGCAGATTTGGAGAAAAAAAAATCCATGTACAATTTCTTTGCACCTAGTATTCTTTTACCAACATTAATATTACTAGCACACAAAAAAAAAGAGTCACTGCTCCCAAAAAAAGAGTCACTGCTTCCAATTGCCATACTCCAAATGAGTCGTGACAGGTTCTCGTCCGCCATGGGATTCTTGCATAGGTGGTCAAACTAGGAGGCACAATCTGGGGCTCCATAAAATCTACAGATTCAATTGGCAAATAGTGTAATGGTTTTCCTGATGCCATATATCACCAAGGACAGCTTTATGTCTTGCATGAAACTAGAAAAATCTTAGCCTGTGACCTCACTGCCCCTTCTCCGGGGATGACAGAGTTTGTGGTCAGTCCACGCAGAACAAGCAGTACTCTACTGAAGATAGCTACCTTGTCGAATCATGGGAATTAGTACCTGTGGGCTGCAAGAAAGATCACACTTGCACCAGATTGTTCGAAATATACAGTTTAGATTTCAATGTGAAGAAATGGATTCCATTAGCAAGTTTGGGTGAATCAGTCTCTCAATCTCTGAGTTGAACGTAGGAGGCATTCAAAGGAACCACTTATATTTTTCATAGATGACTGTATTCATGCTGATTACTGTTACAAGGACACAGGATATAACATGGGTGAGTTCAATTTGCAAAGCTCAACTATTGGTTTCTATCTTACCAGCTTCAGTCTAAGTTATCCTGTTATCCACCTGGGATTTGGGTCACTCCAGCACTACAATAATCAAGTCTTAGCTAGCCACAAGTCCTTACAACCATTCGTTTTGGGAGTTACTATGATTCTTAATGAAATATTACACTTAAAGAGAATGAATTATTTCAAAACTGATATAGATGTCAATCACAGTAAGAAGCCAATTCAAAAATTTTAAATTTCACCATCATTAAAGATGGTTTTATTTTTTTCTCATTAATTTGAACAGAATTAATCAAGAGTTATTCACCAAAATTAAAAATCAATCTTACAAAACCTTCACATTTGGAAAGAGATATAATGTGTTCATGACAAGGGAACATCTAATAACATGCCCTTCGATTACAAGGTGATAACATCTACATTCTACAACTCATCTACTCAGAGATTTATCATGAAATATAGGAATTAAGAAAGGAAAAACAACCAACCTCTTCATAGCTGCTAACCTATTGATTTTTCTTCAATCTCGAAGTTGAGGAGGGTGATTTAAGGCCAGGATCCGAACTTCTAATAACGAACAAAAGTGTTTCAAGCAGCATGCCGAAAACCAATCCAAGAATATCTCCAGCAGCATTCTGCGAATAGAAAGTACAGCACCACCAAATTCAGCATTAAATAATCTAAACTAAGGCACCCAAGACATAACTACTTGTAAATTTGAGAATGATAGTTTGAAAGTACCATGATAGGACTGTGGTTAAACAATGCTTTGAATGCAAAATATCCAACCAAATACCCAGCAAACATTGTCAGCGCAACATGTAAACCTGTTTCAAGTATAATTAGTGAAAGTAACTTAGAAAATCCGTACCCAACTTATAAAATGTTATCCGTTTTGGTTCGAAAACCTCATAGTTTAATTAAATATTGGATTTAAGTGTTTACTTATATATGATAGGAGATACTCTGATCATCCCGCCATAAGACTGGAGTGTCACAGTAACTACGTGGAAAGATCTTGCAATAGCGAAACAAACATACTATTTGAACTAAGTACTAACCAAAGCCAAGTTGATCCTTATAGGTAGAGAAAGGTTCATTGAAATCCTTCTTCAGCGCGATGACTTTAACAAGCTTTTGATACTCTTCCCTCTCTGCTATTTCTTTAAGCTTCCATGATCTTTCCCTCAATTCTTCGGTCCGAGGCCGTGAAGTGAAGTGTTCGGCTACGACATTAGGCCAAAGATTAGGCTAGGGCTGAAGGTCTGAAGCAGATTGTTGTCAGTTAGGCTAGGCCCAACGTGAAAGAAAAATAAAGTGTGATTATTTTCTTTTTATTTATGCTGACAATATAAATTACTTGAAGATTATTTTTAAAATTTAACTAAATCCTCCCAAAAAGTTATTATTATTATTTTTTGAAATGATACGAAATTCTTTAAAATTTAAGAGCAATTTTTTTTATGAACTAATATTTATTTATCAAACGATGTTAGACCCAATTTTTTTCATGTCACTTAACAAAGAACCCTTAATTAAAGGCAAAAATTACATGTCAATTGACCTTCTACGGTGAAAATTTTTATAAAATTTTATAGGTGAAGTTTATAAAATAATAATTTAATAAAAATTAAAAAAAAATTAAATCAATTGATTGATAAAATTTAATTTTAAAATTAATAATATATAAAAAAATTATTAAAAATATTATTTATAATTCAAATTCGGTTAATATTTATTTAATGATAAAAATTATATTAATATTTTTACTAAAAGTATCTATCTAAATATATATAAATTTATTAAAATTTTTTCATATTTTACACACTTAATTTATATAACTAAATTTATCAATTTATCAATTTTAATTTTTAATTTTATTTAATCAATTTTAATTAAAAAATTTACGTAATTCACTTACAAAATTTGATTTAAATCTTTCCGCCCCATGTATAGTAGCCAAAGTATGGTAGGTTTCGATTGTGAGGCAGATTGTGACACACACGTGCATCCACTCTTCCACCAAACCCTCTTTTCATGCACAAACTATATTCACATCGTTGAAAGGGAAGGAAGACAATGTAAAAACTCATCTTCCAGTCTCTCTCCCTCCGCCCCCAACAACAACTACTCCCACCCATATCTACTCTCCCACGCCCTTTGAATGCTAGGCCAAGCCAACCCCTTCTTCTTTATTTATATACTCAACAAACTCACCACTTCAGCTAGCTCTACCCCGGAGCTTCTACTCTCCAAGAAAAATGGCACCGGCTTCTTTCCATCACGAGAAAGTTTGCGTGATGGACGCCTCCGGTCGCCTTGGCTCGAACCTGGTTGAGCGGTTGCTGCAAATAGGCTACACTGTCCATGCTGCGGTTCAAGGCCATGGTGATTATATGCCCACCAGCTTTTCTTTGTTTTTTCCTTTTTCTCTTTCCCCTTGGTAATTAACTAATTAATTGTAGTGTTTCATGGTCATATAGGTGATTTGAAATTTAATGGGGGTGAAAACAAGAAGCTGAAGATTTTCCATGCAGACCCTTTTGACTATCAGAGCATAACCGATGCTCTGAAAGGTTGTTCTGGTTTGTTTTACGCCTTTGAGCCTCCAGAAGACCAGCCTACCTATGATGTAAGTTGTACTTTGATTTCAACTATGAGCACATAATCATACATGTTTCGGTTGATATCTACAACTTTTTATCGCTTGTTTGACTTTTCTAGGTAGTTTCTCGATGATTTTCATAGCTAGAAAGTTAATTGATTAGAGAAACATGTGATCCTGCACGCAATTAATATTTTCTCCTTAACTTTCCTTTTGGCCAAACAAACACTTTTTCTTATTGAAGACATTTAATTTGTACTGTAAATTCATGAACTTTGAATGGTCCTGGAAGAGTAGAAGTAGGGTTCATCCTCGACTCTACGTTGCGTTTGGGATGGGATATTCGGATACTTAATAATTGACAATTTGAATATGTACAAATGGTTGTCAAGTACTTGGGAAATTGAGAAAGTGGCTGATGATGGCAGGAATTCATGGCAGAAGAGGAGGTAAGAGCAGCACACAATGTGATAGAGGCATGTGCTCAGACGGATACAATTGACAAGGTGGTCTTCACATCCTCCGCCACCGCTGTTGTTTGGGGAGACAACAATCCTCAACCCGATCTGGATGAAAGACATTGGAGCGATGTCAATTTCTGTCGCAAACTCAAGGTGCCTATGCATGATCATATATATATTTTACTTCTCCATAGATTGAAGATTTGAAGGTTTTGTAATTATATTATGAATAAATATTGCATTAATTTCCCATAAAATTTAATTTGACTTTGATTTATTATTATTATAAATAAAAATGAAATGGAAAAAACCAGTTATGGCATGCCCTGTCAAAGACGGTTGCAGAGAAGACAGCATGGGCGTTGGCAATGGATAGGGGGATTAACATGGTGTCAATCAACGGTGGATTGTTGATGGGGCCCAATCTTTCTATCACCCACCCTTACTTGAAAGGAGCGGCGGAGATGTACGAGTATGGGACTTTCGTGACCGTCGATCTTAATTTCTTGGTTGATGCTCACATCTGCGTCTTCCAAGATGTTTCATCCTACGGTCGATATTTATGCTTCAATCACGTAATTAATCGCCATGAAGATGCTATTCAACTCGCCCGTTTGCTTTCGCCTTCTACACCTTCCCCACCTCAAAGGTTAGTGCTTTCGAAAAAGAAATAATAATAAAAATAATTTTTAACAATTTTATGTTAAATAAATATAAAATATAAAAATTATCATGTCATAATTTATATAAATATATTAAACACAAAATATTTTTTTTTAATTTTTATCAAATTCATATATTATTTTTATTAAAATTTTAAACTATGTTATTTTTATATTTTTTGTATCATATTATTATATTGTATTTAGAATTAACAAATTTTATATATGTTTTTAGCTCATGATAGAGATGGCATTGTTTAGCTTTACATAAATATTACTAGAGTGTGTTGAAAACTTTAAGATTATTTATTATTATTATTATTATTTTTTTTTTTGGATTTTAACAGCGACGAAGAAGCTAACACGATCATACAACAAAGGTTAAGCAACAAGAAGTTGAATAAGTTAATGGAGGATTTTGAAAGTGGAGGAGCTTTGGAGGATTGGTCACAGAACTCTCCATCTACAATTGAGATTTAGGCTGATGATCATAAACAAAAGCATGCAATCTTTCTTTCCATAGTCCTCCACCCAAACCCTAAATAATATTTTATTGTTCATCCTCCACCCAAACCCTAGATAATATTTTATTGTTCATCCTAATTGATGTAATTTGCAAATTGTTTTTACAATTTTCAGTTGAATTAATGTTAAATTCAACTTCATATTGTTATTTCTTGAGTTCATCCAAAATGAAGTTGGAATTTTAGTTAATGGGTGCCCTTTTAATTGTGATATCATTTTTTAAAGTTTTATCAAAGTCTTTCCTTTTCCTTAATTTAAATTTTACATTAATATTTCAATTTAAAATTAACATTTTTAGTATTATCATGTAGATTGGTTTTCCTTTTACACGTTGACAATCAAATCTTTGTTGATGTTACAATTTTATTCATGTCTTTTTCTCTTTGATAGAAGGTTTTTTATTTTTAAAAGGAAAATGTTCTTAGAAATGTTAAAAAGAAATAAATAATATAAGAATATAATCAATCGTGCTAAATTTTAAATTTTAAATTTACATATAAAAAAATTATATAAAATAATTATATCATGTTAATGTATATAATTTTCATTTAAATTATATCATGTAATCATGTTATTAAAAAAAGTCAATCATTTACATTAGGTGTGATAATTAAAATAATTAATATTTATTTCAATTAATTCATTCTTGTTATATGTTATAAATGATAGATTTTTTTAATAATATAATTATATAACATGATTTAAATGATGAAAACAATGCTAGCGTATAACAATTTCATTCAGTTCTTTCTCATTAAACCAATGCTCAAACGTAAAAAAAAAAAAAAAAAAAAAAAAAAAATCATATTTTGCAAGTGAACAGTTCTAGCTTCAAGATAAAGAACACATGTTTATTTTATGAGAATATTCCTTCAACTAGTAATAGGTAAAATCGACATCAAATTATTAATTTTTTTTGGTCAGAACATCAAATTATTACCTATTTTATTAAAATCAAGAAATTAAATTATTGAATCCACTACATGAACACTTACAAGTTACAATTATATAAACTCACTTATGAAATTTGTAAACATGATTATTAGTGTACTAATCCGTTTGTTTATTTGTTACCAGAAGTTAGTATTTGTGTTTCATAAATATTTTTTAAATTTTAAAAGATGTAAAAGAAGTTTTTCTATTATTATAAAAATTTTAAAAATAGAAAAAAATTACAGAACTACAAAAGGTTACTTATTAGTTTAATGTAAGGATATCATCTGAGTCGATTCAAATTAATATAGTAAAAAGTTTGAATTTATATTTAATTTAAAATTTGTTGTTTGAAATTTGATTTGAAAATTTAAATTTAAATTTAAATTTAAATTTGATTTGGGATAAAAATTAAGTTATTTGAATTTATTTGATTAGATTTATTTAATAAAAAATAAATTTAATTTTTATATTTAATTTTAAATTTGATTATATGTTTAAATTTAAATTTGAATTAATATATATGTATAAATATAAAATGATAGTTTTTTAATTAAATAATAAAAATATAGTAAAATTAAAAATTAAATTAAAATTATAAATTATTTAAATTAAATATTAAAATATCTAAACTCAATTCATTTAATAAATTTAATTATTTCGATTAGATAATAATTGTATCCAATTTAAATTTTATTTAAAATCTGAATCATTTAATAATATTAATATATTATTTAAACCCGTAGCTTATAGAGTACAATGAATGTCACTTTTTTTGTTGTCTGAAGAAAATACGAAAAGCAGAAAAGGACAAAACAAGATATATACACGACAAGTTTACGCATGGTTTTTATTTTGGTACATACTCGTGGTGCTTTACCAGTCGACGTCTCTCAACTTGTCTACTTGTGGAGAGTTTAACCATTTTTCACTCTTTTCCAGGAAAAAAAAAAAAGGTGTTGAAAATTCTTCTTTTTTGCTTTGTTGATTCCTTCTCTTTATGTTCTCTAAACAAAACCTATCTCTAAATCTTAGCATCAGCATTTCATTACAAATATAAAAATGTATTTCTATTTTTCCACTTTCATTATCCTTAATAAATATATACGCCTTGACTTTTTGTTTGATTATCTTGTGATATTTTAAGGTTGTAGATCTAACTCAAAATCTTTGAACTAACTTCTGTTTTCCTTTATTTCTATCTTTATTTGATCCGTTGTAGCTGTTTTCTTTCTTCTTGTTGTTGTCTTCCTTCAGAAAAGCTGAAACTTTTATGTCAAATTTAGTTTCTTTGGATGTGTGATCAGATACCCATTTCTCAAATCAGTAAAATCTCACTCTTTAACTTCAGTTTTATCCAATTCATGTAATTTAATCTTCTGGGTATATCTCCTTCTTCATGTTTTCTTACTAAAATTAGGGTTTTGTTAAAAAAAATTCCCCTTTTGGTCACCCCTTTTAGAAAGCAACATGGATTACAGTAGAGAAAATGTAGTTCATGTAATTCCGACAAATGGACCTGATAATTGGGTTCCAAATTCGACTGACCCCTCAGTTTGGGCAACAGAAGAAGATTACCGTGTTTGGAACAACCAAGAAACCTCCAGCGACACACCTTCGAACTCTAGCTACGACCAAAGACATCCTCAATCACGGTCCAATTCCGAACAGCCACCAAACAAGAAATCAAGAAATTCCCAGGAATTAAATTCCAGGTCCAAAGCCATAGGTAAAATGTTTTTTAAGACCAAGCTTTGTTGCAAGTTCAGGGCTGGCACTTGCCCTTACATTACAAACTGTAATTTTGCTCATAGCATTGAAGAGCTTCGACGACCACCTCCTAATTGGCAAGAAATAGTTGCTGCTCATGAAGAAGAGAAAGGGATTTTGTCAGAGCCAAGAGAGGAATATCAGATTCCTTCTTTGGGGTCTTCTAGTTTTACGGGGGAAACACAGAGGTCATATAAGGGAAGGCATTGCAAGAAGTTTTATACGGAGGAAGGGTGTCCTTATGGTGATAGCTGCACGTTTTTGCACGATGAACAGTCGAAGAATCGAGAGAGTGTAGCTATAAGTTTGGGGCCTGGAGGATATGGTGGTGGCGCGGGAGGAGGAGGAGGAGGTGGTGGTGGTGGTAGCGGCGGCGGTGGTGGTGGTAATGGGAATGGATCGAATGCAAAGCCGTCTAATTGGAAGACAAGGATTTGTAATAAGTGGGAACTTACTGGGTACTGCCCATTTGGAAATAAGTGTCATTTTGCTCATGGAGTTGCTGGTATGATTTATTGATTGATTGGTTAACCAATTTACTTTTTTTTGTCTCTTTTTTATCTTGATTATGGAAAGTACTTATGGTTTTCAATTGTTCTTTATTTCTGTTGGTTATTTAGTTAACAGACTAGAATTTGCATGATTAATTTGTTGAAAGAGTTTTTATTAACTGAAAAGCTCCAATTCAAGGAATTTTACCGTATTTGTGCAATTCCTATTAGTATGCTGGGATTGTCTGGTTGCTGGATATGCTTCTGTGTAGCTAACTCCTTTAAGTGGCTAGAATTCTAATTAAACAACCAGTGATATTTAAGTTTTTTCCCTTACCGCAACCATCCAATTTACTAATGACTATCAGGCAGTTGTATGCTGCTCAAAGTGGAACCGTTATCATGGTAGTATGCACTTGTTAAGTGAGAACCATGAACTTGCTGTGCGTGTGCTTGTACCCTTTATCTCTTCTATTATTTTGGACGATTGAGAACCATGTTGTTATCATCATGCCTTTGAAATTTGAGAACTTTCATCTCACTTTTACTTTTAAATTGGCTCAAAGCTAGTGCTCCATTGATGAGTAGCTAACCTGATGGATGATGCAAGATATATGTTTTTGTTGTTTTTTCAGTAATAAACGGATAGATGGTTTTTCAGCTAGTCATGAGTATCTTCTATGCTTCAGCATATAATATATATAATTATTTTGATGGCAGCAAGCTTTACATGGGGAGTTGTATTCGTCTCCTTTGCTTTTGTTTTTGGTGTGATAAGGATGAATATTTATTGTTACTACAGAATTACACCGATATGGAGGGGGCCTTGTGGATGTAGAAACTAAGGATTCTTCTGCTACCCCTTCTGACACAAAGCAAGGGGGAGGAGTGCCTTCAAAAACTCCTGCTGATACTGCAGCTGCATCAGTCCCTTCAGTTCCACTTTCCGATGTTTATCATCTTGGAGTTCCTTCACAGAGGACATCTATTGTACTCCAGAGACCAGGACAAAGAACTCTTCAGAAATGGAAGGGTCCAGATAAAATCAGTCTGATATACGGTGACTGGATTGATGACATTGAATAAACTCTGTTCTTTCAAGTACTGAGGAAAAAAAAAAAAAACAGAGAAGAGATGAGTGCTGAAATTCTGGCTGGGAAAGTGAATAGTTTAGATATATTCCTAGGACAGTAGGGTCATGTACCCTCAGCTTATACTGGCTGGAAATATGACGCTTGTATGACTGGCTGTAGAATTTGTCCTTGTTATCAATTGCTGTAAGTTATTAGATGACCCTTTTTAATCTGAAAACTGAAAAGAAAATTATACCACTTTGTTAAAGTTATCATTTTTGTTCTTAGTTCTCTCTCCGGAAGTCTTGGTTTAATCATGTACAAGCCAAAATTTTAAGCTGAATTTGGCAGGCCTTTACTTTTGTTCATTTGATCAAGATTAGCCAGATTGTTTATGGAGATTTAAAGACCACTACCTTCTAATTTACTATAATTAATTCATGCCTCCTCTATTAATTAGGGTTTAGGGTTTAGCTTCAACCAGACTACCCACAACCAAAACCAAGATTTTGTAGTTTACCATGGTGTGGTTGGAAAAATGTCATTGGTCAGCAACAATGGTAAACAGAGAAATGGCTAATATTATTCAGACAGTGCTCCACATCCTTCTCACAAAGGACTCGTTCAATAGCCATAAATATAATGGTTACCAAGCATCAGCTTTCCAAATTAAGCTTACCACTCTTTCTTAAACACATTGACATACCGCCTTGTTTTTCTCTTCCGCTGCATGACCAGCAAAGAAAAATCTAAGCAACAAACAAAAAAAAGAAATCTCATTTTCTCTCATCAATGCAAAAATACAAGGCCGGAACGATCTTAACTCCGGCCACTGCTGCCCTCTTTATTCAATGTCGCCATATTCTAGTTATGCCGAAGCACCCTCCTCATCGAACTACACCCCGCCAATACCTATAATTATAACTGTAATTTTCCTTGTTTTGTTCTTCCTTGGTTTTTTCACAGTATACTTTTGCAGGTGTATCCTGGAAAATCTTGTTAGTATCTGGAATCAGCGGCGTAATCCTTCGGGTCCTGTAGCTGCCTCAGCAGGTGCAGATATGAGTAATGGCCTTGATCCTGAACTAATACAAACTTTCCCAACATTCTATTATTCCACCGTCAAAGAGTTTCGTCGTGAAAAGTATGGCCTAGAATGTGCTATTTGCTTAGGAGAGTTCAGCGATGAAGATATGCTTCGACTTTTGACAATTTGTTGCCATGTTTTCCATAAAGAATGCGTTGATCTTTGGCTTGAATCACATAAAACATGTCCAGTTTGTCGTGGGGAGCTAGATGAGCCTAGGAAATCATTGGAGAAGTCCCCGATACTTGTTCATAGCAATTCCATGCATGAAATTGGAGCAAACCAAAGCTCACTACAAGATGCTGTTTGCATTGACATTAAAGAAGATAACATTGAGAAAGCTGGTGGGGTCGAAGATGAAGCACAAGCCTCTTCAAATTCAAGAGAACAACATCATAGGAAAAGTCACAAGGTACAAAGATTTTCAAGGTCACATTCAACCGGGCACTCCATATCTAGAACTAGAGAAGAGGAGGATAAATATACTCTGAGATTGCTTGACCATGTCAAAATAAAAATTGTAAGGGGACATAACTCTGCAGGAAGTTGTATTGCGTTTGGTGATTTTGCAAGCCCCTCGGACTACAGGAACGAAGGTTCTGTTAAACCATCAGGGACACATGCCTAGTAGACATTGATAAAGTACAAGTTTGTAGGACTTTCTTTTCTCTTTTATTCGCACAAAAGCTCATTTTTTACTTTATCTTAGGAAATTCTGATTAGAATTTATTACAAGCATTATGTTACAACAACCTTTCTCAGTTCTCATGTTTCTTTATACTTACAGGACTTATTCAACATTCCATGAACTTATAATTTGTGTCGAGAGAACTGAAATAAGCAGGATTATTCAATCACAAACTTTAACTGGAATCGGTGGTCCATATTTGACTTCACATGCTCTAGTTTTCGTTTGTTTATTTATTTATAATCTACAGAATTCAGACTCATATCTTCCAGTTATTTGCTTGAGCTCTTCATGACTTTGCTTCTTTATGTTCTGGAAGACGAAGAATGAAGTTGCAGGCTTTGTTATCTGTATTTCCTTTTTATCAAGCAATGTCTGATGAGTGATACCTTGCCGCAACAAGCCAACATGTTCAGCAAGGGCTAGATTTCTGCAGCTATTGCTTTGATGAGTTGCACCAGTCAGGCTTGATACAAACTGTACTCTTTTGGTGTTTGTAGTAGCTCATGAACTTTGCTACAAATTCTACTAACAGGAAAAAGCTAATAATTAAATTTCAAGGGGATCAACAGAATGCATTATATGCTTTACAGGGATATGTATTGTATTTTAAATGATAACACGGGGTATATTAGCATATATTATGATTCGCTTACGATAAGCAAGAAGTAAATCTGTTGTTTACCTTCTATTGCTGCAAAAGAAATTCGATAACATTTTCTCATTCTGCTGCCTAATACTTCGCCTTCGTAGCTTAACTTTTTATCTCCCCAAAAATCTTCAATAGGCTTTGACCATAATATGCATAAGAGGGTGTCAGAAAACAAATATTTTACAGGATAACAAAATAAATGACAATGCCAAAATTTTAGTTTACACTTACAATTTGCTGGTATAGACTTTCTACATCCAACTGGGTTTGGCTGTCTGGAACATGCTTTTTCAGCTCTGCTACTAGAGTCTGAAGAAAGAGAAACATATTGATTTGGACTGCAAAGTCTAAATAGCCCATAAATGCAGGACAAAGAGATCTTACACTTAGAACGAATTCTCGACAGATATGGTGTTCCATTAAATTTATAATCTTTTTTCTAGCAAGAAACAACCTGCAGTATAAAAGCTACAGAAGTAAATAAATATGCAAGATACAGAGATGCATCTATGGTGAAATAATTATGAATATTGCAACTTAATAACAGCAAACCTTTCATACTTTTAAAGCTCACACGAAATAGAGGTAGCTTTGTTAAGGCCAAAACAAGGTTCCCATTGGCGTTGATGGGAATGTAACTTGATTTAACTGTCTACCTGACTGCTAGTAAGGCATTCCAAAAGCACTGGAAGTTCTATGGTTATGTCATTCCACCACTGAGATGCTAATGTCTGCTTTTCTAATTGTTAGAACCAGCTTGAAGGGTAGCATACTTACTAATATTGGTGTTAATGAGAATATCTGTTTTATTCTATTAACCTGGTCAATTTTCAATGTGGAGAATACAAGGGGCCCTTGCTGCAGCTCAATCGTAGGTTGCATTGCTAAATAGTAGAAAATGGCAGTAAACTACTCACACGTTTAGGCTTTGTTCTTCAATGATACTTTTGGCCATTATTGCAAGCTCATCTTCCCAGCCAGTCAGAATTGATTGGCCTTCTTTAAAAGGGTAACTGTAAATACATGATCGCCAAGTTATGCGCAAAATTAGCTAGAAGAATAAGAAGAATAATAGATAGTTTTTCAGACTTCAACACCATTCATTGTATGTTGTAATGGTCAAAAGGAGAAAATATTGTAGTTGACAGACTGAATTTGCTTCAAAATTCAAGCAGAGAAATCAGAGTGAAAAATCATCATGGTTAGGGGCTCTTTCACCATTTTAAGGCAATCTGAAAGGAATAAATCCTTAGAGCTACTTCTTTTTTATAGAATAATGCAGTTCCATCATTTCAGACTACGGTGTGATGCCGCAATTTGTATCACTTACTCCGCAAGCCATGTGGCCTCGAACGAACGAATGGCTTGCCGGAGGCAGTGCTTGGAATTCTCTGCTATAGTTTGGGCCAATGCATGAGGCAATTCAATATCTTCTTGTTTAGCAATGAAGTTCAAGACTCCAACAATCTGCGGGGTAGATTATGGTAAAACGAAGGACTCACTAAAGAGATGGTGCCAAACCTTCGAAAATCAAAATAGTCAGCTTGGTGAGAGAAAGAGAACTTACCTCCTTGTTTGGAGGTGGAGCAAGATGGATAACTCTGCAGACAGGCTTGAGGATTTGAAGCTTACAGATTTCGGAGCAGCAGAATATAACTTTATACTGACCCTCAGAATTCTCTAAGAACTTTAGGATTTGGGGTTGAGCATTCTTCGATATTTTTTCTGCCTGGTAGAAAACAATAGCTGCAGATAGAGGTTTGGGTATTAGCTTTATAAACCTCTATAATTGCTTCATGTTCAGGGCAAAACAAAATACACAAGCTGCACCTTTGGCATTTACAAGATTGTGCTGCATGGATGGTTTCTTTGTTAAAGCATTCTGTGTTTCCTTGATTACTAACAAGGCCACCTCTGTTGCATATTCTCTCTTTTCTGGTTCAGAAAGGTTGATCTCTATGTGTTTAGCGGATGCTTGTACTCTTATCTGAATGCTTGATGTTGGCCCTCTTTTATGTTCACTCTAACATCAAGCACAAAATAATATTTAATATGTGGAATGAAATTGAGAATTATGCAGCAAATGTTGTAACAAGGAAATTCAGAAACAAGTAAAACAACTTGTGGCAACTTTGGTTATAATTGAGAACAAGGGGCCATTCGACGGTTGAAAGAGAGTGTTGGATCTTTAGATTAAATGGTGGGGGGAAATACAGTCACAAAATGATGAAACTAATTGTCCAAAGCTCACCTCCAAATCCAAAGCTAGGACTTCCTCCCTTGTCTGTTAAACAAAGATAAGCAATCAACAATAGAATCCTTCTATTGAATGCAAACCAAACATTTTAATCGAGTTCTGTAAGAGTACCTCTAAGATGTCCACTCCAAAATGTTCTCTAAGCAGTGCTAGAGCCATTGTTCTCTTCCCTATTCCTGGGAGTCCTTCAATTACAAAATGATTAACATCTCCAGCTGTCACCTGCAAATTTGTCAATATGAAGCAACTATTATTAGAATTCCTATACATCTTATCTCAGCATCAAAGATCAATCACGCAGTTCGGTGGTTTAGCAGGCCTCCAATGATTCTGTCTAGGTGTCTGTATGCTATATATACAGTTTTACTACACTTTCAACCTTTTCAGCTATTTCTCTGTGGCAGATGAAGTCCTTCAAAGCCTTAGGTTGATATTTCTCTGCCCAAGTGAATTCGTGCTGCTTTTTGGAATTATCTTCCTTGGCAACTAAGTCTTGAGACTGTCTGGCCTCCTCCGGCTTTTCTGTTTGTAAAAACATTTCTTTCAATGAACCTGAATCAATCTTCTTCGTATCCATCTTTGCTTTTGCTATCAAGGAAAAACCTATGCTTAGTTTTTTTCCTTAATCAATGCAATCCACCAGCTTTGAAGCACTTCCTGCTAAATTGAAGGTGTAACATCATCTTAAATTGAACGTGCAAGGTAATAGGGAGTGGACAAAGATGTGATCCAATCCTTCGTTAGCAGCTATAGTGCTCTGTATCGAGTGGCTGTTTTTAAAACTCCTCGAGAAAAGCATTGGACGGAGCGATCGAAGCATGGTGATAACAAAGAGAATATGGAGAAAAAAGCTATGAAGCCTATGACACAAGCCAGGACAGAGCTTCTAGTGAATGGGGGAATGTTTTTCTTTGTCATTTTCCTGAACACACGTATCTAAATGATAGTATAAATTATAGACACCCAATTTAATTTAGGTCTGAATTAATTGGGCTTGATCCAAATGAAAAATGGACCATTTTTTTTATTTTGTTTTTATTTGTTTTTTTCGTTTATTATTTATTTTATTATTTACTGTTAAATTATTAATTATATTATTATTATTATTATTATTATTTGATTGATTTTATCTTTTCTCGATTAATTAGGAGATAATGATTAGATTAATTAAAAATAATAAAAAAAAAATGGTAAAAGTGAATTTGAATGTGAATTTTGGGGCTGACAGAGTTAGGATTGGATTCAAAGTTTGAATCCTAATTCCATCCATTTGTGATTTATTAGAAACTCTTCTAATCAATCGCTATAAATAGATGTTGAAACATGCAGAAAGGAACACAAAAAAAAAAAGAAAAGAAGAAAACAAAAGCAAAAAGAAAAAACTCAAAGGTGTTAGTAGCAATCGTGGAAGCAGTTTAGGAATTTTTTTTGAAACTTTTCTGGTGAAACTTGGATTTTTCGACGTGTTTTTCCAAATTTCGACGTGATTTTTTAGAATCCAGTGAAAATTCAATCGAATTCTTGGTTTCTGTTCTAGAGAGAGGGGAGAGAAAATGGGAGAAAAGAGAGAGGAAGGAAGAAAAACATGAAGGAAGACCGGGTTTTAGCCTTTTATATCCTTGCAAAATGATACCGTTTCAGAGATAATAAAACCCTAGGATCCGTTTGTTTCCATTCGGGTGACTCAACTTGTCGCGTTGACTCGCTTCAACCCGCTTCGCAGATCCTGCCAATGAGTCGAGCCGATTGCCCTGAGTCGCGTTTTGAGCTGTGATTTTTGTCTCAAGCCGAGCCATTCACAGCCGCAAGCCGAGCCATTTCTGTTTTTTTGGTATTTTTTATTTATTTTTATTTATTTTTTTAAATTATGTGTTTAGTTATTTTATGAGTATTTTTGAATGATTTAATTAATAAATAATAAAATAATAAAAATAAAAATTTTGGAAATAAATATTAATTATCCAATAATGAAATTTATAGAAATTTCAAATGGTAAATTTTTATAAAATTTCTAGGTGAAAAATTTTATCTAAATTTGTCTCAAATGGTGGAATAATTTAAATAAAGTTTCAATACCAATAATTAATATTTATCTTCAACCAAAAAAATAAAAAATGAAAAAAATATAAAAATTTTGGAATTAAATACAAATTATCTAAGGATGAGATTTTTAGAAATTTCAAATGATAAATTTTTTAAGAATTCTCTAGGTGAGAAATTTCTTCTAAATTTATCCCAAATGGTGAAATAGTTTAGATGAAAGTTTTAATAAAAGTAATTGTATTCTTTTTTCACATAAAAATTTGACTTGAAAATATTTGATAATTATTTAATGATGAGATTCTTAAAAATTGTAAATGGTAAATTTTTAACAAATCTCTAAGTGAAAATTTTTTTCTATATTTGATCCAAATGGTGGAATAATTTAGGTAAAATTGCAATAGAAATAATTATCATATTATTTTCTTTCCAAGAAAAATTTTTTTTTAAATAGGCTCAAATGGTGAAAATTTTAGAAATTCAAAAGAGAAAATATTTTTAATTTGACCCAAATGGTGGAATAATTAGATTTATTTTTAACAAAAAATGATAATAATAATAAAAAATAAATAAAACTTTGTTCCAACGATATAGTCTCTTTAAAATATCAAATGGGACGCTTGAATACTCTTGAGGTGAGAAAATATTTTTTAAAAGTTTTACTAGATTGATAGAGAATCTTATAAATTATTTCTAATATTTAACATTAAATATTAAAATCATTAGACTTAAGACCATAAGATAAATTTAAAATAATATGGTACCATCTTTTGGATAGACATGTGGGGATGATATAACTTTTTTACATGTAACCGAACTTTTAAATCCTGTTTTGGTTAGTAGATCCGAATTTATTTTTTTAAGGATTTTTAGTCAAAATTAAAAGATTCTTAAAAAGATAGATTTCTTACGTAACTAATCACATATAAATAAAAAAAATTGATGATGACTCTATTTATTTATTAAATCTAACTATAAATTTATAAATTTATATATTATAACACAAATCATCTCAAACTAATAGGAAAATTTTTGAGCAAGAGCATTTTGTCCTAGCATATGTGTTTAGCTGCCTAGCTGTCGAGAAATGGTAAATTTTCAACAGTTTTTCTCTCCTAGGTTTCTCTGAGAGACCTAAGACATAATGGCTTTTGTTCTACAGCCTCTTTTCCATTGCTATTTGCTAGGCTTCAAAAGGATTCCCACCGTGTGGCTAAAATATCTTACAAACTTGTTGAAAGTGAGGCTAATTCTTTATGATGAGAAAAAATCAAAGGAAAATAAAAACTAAATATAAACCAAAAAAGGCTTTGGAATCGAACATTTCTAAGATCATTACTAGGTATTATAATATTATAGTTAATCTCATCCTAATCTAATCTTTATAATAAGAAACCGATTAGCAACGACGAATTTTGGGGGTGGTTTTGGGCCCATATATTATTTGCTCTACCATCAATTCCAAGTCAATTTGGGCCATTTGGGCTTCAACCAGGTGTTCCCTTTTCGACATTGGATTTTACTAATCAATTAAAAAAAATTAGATCTCCTCCGTTATGGGCTTCTAGCCATCAAGCTAAGTCGATCAAGTTTCTGCTAAAAAAGACGGGTCACTTGACCTATCCGTACCCAAATTCAACTGAAACTAGATCCCTCCATAAGGCTTCTTGCCCAGGTCGCTTAGTCGGTCAAGTGTTCGTTTATAAATATTGACCACCTAACCCCAATCCCAACCCAAAACTCTAAACAATTAAAAAACAAAAAACCGCAAATCTCAACTGTATTCTTCTTCGTTCTTTGTTCTTCTTCATTTCATCTCTTGCCTTTTTCGCTGCTAGGCTTTGATCTTCTACAATAGGCTTTGAATCTTCTACAATAAACTGGCATAAACGGGCGCATTCTAATTTTGAAACTTGCTTTCAATGGATTCTCCCAAAGTTCTTTAAATCCGAACAAATATCTCAAAGAACAGTAGTTTTCTCTTCAATCTACTACTTCTTCCTTTTTCTTTTATCTGATACTAATAAACCCTAAATTTTATTTAAAACCCTAATCTGCAATTCGTGAGCAATTTGACGGGATCATCCATGCTAGAAATCTCCGCGCTTTTGACCACTGTACCCGTAAGTTTTTAACACTTCATTTCCTTTCGTTCCTTTATTTTGCCTAAAAAACGTTTTTTCTTTGTATTCAGATTCTAGTACTTTTGCGTCACTCCATCAGCTCTAAAGCCCTAACTGGTAAATTTATGATTTTTTTTTTTAAATAATAAAGATTAGCGATTTAAATATTTTTAGCTTATTTTACGAATCTGTTTTAATAGATGCTGATACCAGACAGACCTCTTCAAAGAAAAAGGATAGTGCAATGGTTGCTTGTAAGAGTTTAAAGGCTTACCTAGCCACATTAGCTATGGATTTTGTCTTCTTTGTTCTTCCCACACTTTTACTTTTCACTGTAAGTACTCCTACTAGCATTCAGAACATTTCTTTGTAATCCCAGAATTTACTGTGATTAACATAAAAGTTATTGCGAATGATAGGTTCTAGCAGAGTGGACATACTCATGGGCGATTCTGTTATCATTGTTGCTATTCATCTCTGTCGCTGTCAAAAGGTAGAACTTGTAAGTCGCTTTTACTCGTTCTTATTTTTTTTATCATTAATCATTTTTCTACAGGGAACTGTTTTTAATGCAAAAGCATATTAACTCAAAACCTTTTATTGCAGATCTCGTTGTTTGCCTTACTCTGATGGACCTAATTCTTTTAGGACAAGCATATCATCTTATAGGGTTGCTATGGTATGGTGTCTTACATACTTCTGTATTCTGTAAATTGTTTTCTTTGAAACTATCTTTTACTTAGTGTTACTTTTTATTAATAGTAATAAATGATTGGTGGGAAACTTATTGCAGATGATTGTCACATGCTTATGTATCTTGGCTGTTGACTTCAGAATATTTCCTAGAGAATTCGCTAAGACAGAGACTTATGGCACTAGCTTAGTAAGATATAATCAAGCTATATCTTGTAGTTGGTCCTTAGTATTTTCTTTCTATCTTTATGCTTATTATTTCTTTGTTTGCTATCAATTTAGCATTGAGTAGATAATTTTGCAGTTTTTCTTTAAATGGAAAACCCATATTAACATTTAATTCCATATCCACATGCATAAAACTTTTGTTTTTATTGCTCTCCAAATGGGTAATTGCAGTAGCAGTTGTTGTCTTGTTGTTCATTATTCTTATTCTTTCCAAATAGCCACTATCGGCTTTTAAATCTTAGTGCATGAGAATCAGCCAATCTTACAATGATTTTTCCTTCTATTTTGATATGATGTTATTCCATGTATTAGGTAATCTGAAGCTACTGTTGTAATTTACACTAAATGCCATAATCAAATTAATGGGTAAATGAGTTTTAAGAAAAAACCACACCACATATGAAAGATAATAATTAAGGTCACGCTAATTTTTAAATTGGTTTCGTTAATGGCTGTGACTTAATTCTTAGACTCATTGATGTTTCTGAACGTTGAAAACTTTGATTTTTTGAATTTTTAAACAATCTATACTCTATACCTGTCATCCTTTAAGCAATATTTTTATGTATGCAAAGTGGATTCTATGATCTTTCACTTTGAGAACTTTTGTAATTGTCTTGCCAATATGTCAAAACTTATTGACTTTTTTTGAATTTGCAGCATAATTTTATGTTAGTATCCTGGTGACTAGCAATGTAAAAAATTTTATTATGTTAAGTAATGTTTGTGAAACATGCATAATTTTGTCAGATGGACCTTGGGGTTGGCTCCTTTGTACTAGTGAATTCAATTGTTTCACGTCAAGCACGAAATGTCTCATCATCAATGTGAGTAATCCTTTAAAATATTTTCTAGATGTTCATATTAACTTGTCATTTATATGCTTATTAATGTAAATTTTTTCTTCTAAGCATATATTTATAACATTGATGTCACAATTTTCTGTTTTAAATATGCAGCATATCTACATTAGGTATATACTACTTCAGATCTATGTTCCACTAATTTTTCTTAATGCTTCCTAAGGAATTGGTGTAAGGCAACCCTTAAATCTACAACTCCACTACTACTGCTAGGATTTGGTAGACTTATTTCTACACTGAGTGTTGACTATCAGGTAGAATATATTTCATTGCTCTTGACTTTTTTTTATCATAGTTTTTTGCAATGGCATATGATTAGTAGTTTTCCACATCTGCTCACATAATGTAAACAGATGAAATATTGGTAGATGTATGATATACATACTGCAAACCAGTTTGTATGCACAAGCAGAATTCATAATGTAAACAGATGGAATATTGGTAGATTATAATATACATACTGCAAACCAGTTTGTATGCACAAGCAGAATTCACTCTGTATTTATTATGGCATTATGTATAACAATCATAGTATTTATACAAACTGGTTACTGGTCTGAGGGAATGATGCCTTTCTAAACGTTCATCGTTCAACTTTTCACCCGGTGATGGTTGTTACACAATACTTTCTTTTTTTTCTTTTAATTCCTTTTCTCCCTTGTAGGTTCATGTGGGGGAATATGGAGTACACTGGAATTTCTTTTTCACACTAGCTGGTGTATCTATCCTTACATCCATAGTAAACGTTCCCCCAAAATATTCTGGAATTCTTGGTTCAGTAATTTTAGTTGGTATACACTTCTATTGATGAATTTTGTTTCTATTCTCTGGTAATTGCTATTTGATTAGTCCTAGACAATAACTTGACTTTGTAACTCTCAGGGTACCAAAGTTGGTTGAGTAATGGGCTAAATGTGTATCTTCTTTCTAACGAAAGGGGAATGCATATAATAAGCAGAAACAAGGAGGGAATTTTTAGCATATTTGGTAAGGATGATTTGGCTATATACCTACTGTCCTATTGGTGTATACCCCTATATTGGTTAACTTGTTTTCGCAAAATAATAGGCTATCCGTTGTTCTTTTCGTCTTAAGAGAGTAAAATGGTGTTGCAATCTGTGCAATCTCTTTGCTTTCATTAGTACTGCTTCTCATCACATCATCTGATTCAAAGATTATCATACCCAGGATACTGGGGCATGTATCTTATCGGTGTTCAGGTGGGCTACTATCTCTTCTTTGGAAATTGTTCTTCTGCTGTGCTGAGAAGCAACAATGGAACACGGATTAGAGTGTGGCTTCTGTCTATCATGTTTTGGTATATATTAACTCTCTCACATGATTTTGTTCAACCCAATATTGGTTGTGTCCATTCTGAATGAATTGATTGCTCAGAAGGTAACCTGATCAATCTCCTATGTATCAGGTTTCTGACATTGATTCTAGACAGCTATGTTGAAAGAATTTCTCGTAGAATGGTAGGATATGTTTATCGAGTAGATTTTACTAATTTGTAGAACTATTTTTGCAATGTTACTATTTTACTAATTTGTAAAACTATCCTTACTAATCATGAAAGCTCTCAATGCAATTTCTGCAGTGCAACTTGGCTTATGTTACTTGGGTGTTGGCTCAAAATCTGCAGGTTAGTCTTATTTCCTCCCTTATTTAAATACTTCAAGAATTTAATTGCTATGTTCATCTTCAATGTGGTGTTAAGCTCTTGGCATAACGAAGCTGTCATCTTTACTTAAACATTCCTTTTCCTAAAATATATAAGGTCAGGACTTAATCATTGACAGGATAACTTTATGTTTCTTGTTTTCATACTTAATCAACATTTCTTTTTTCTTTTAAACCGACAAGGAATCTCAAAATATACAACCCTAGTAGGTTTTTTGTGCTTAAAAGACGCTTGGATGGTACTGGTTCAATGATTTAATGTCAACTGCTAGTTTGAGTGAAAAAGGAGGGGCATTCTTTGTGTAAGTTTCCTTTTCTTTTAAGATAGGTATAATTTGGTGGAGCTGTGAAACTTAGTTTGACTTGTCTACGTCAGTGTGTTGTGCAGAAATGGTGAGACTGAGGGAAAATTTATTTGTTTTGACTTATTTCTCCTCATCCCAACATTGATAGAAATCAAAGGATCAAGTATCAACCATGAGATGGGTAGGTATTCATGGGTCCAAATTACCCATGTTTGTTCTCCATCGGTCTCTCAAGAGAAGTTCACTCCCCAGAAACTGTTATCCAAACTGAACTCATACCTGTTTACCTGTTTTTTGTGTCTTTGGTATAATCAGCCAACATCGATGCAATTAACCACAAAAGGGAAGTGAAATACTTGCTGATGTTTGACATTTCTATGTGAAACTTTGCAAATTCAAATAAAAGAAAGAAGTCCCTGTCCTTTTGAATAACGATGGATGTTTAAACTTTGCAAATTCAAATAAAAGAAAGAAGTCCCTGTCCTTTTGAATAACGATGGATGTTTATAGCTTTGTTATCTATTGTCACATTGGTGCATGGCTAATGAAAGGTTTACCCTCGTTTCAGCTTTTAGCAGTACTAATGCTTTCCGATTATGTCCCTGGGAGTAAAATTTCAGCTCTTGAAAGAGCATTTGACCGGAATTTATTGGCTTCTTTTCTTCTGGTAAAGAAAACATCCTCCTCTTTTCATTCATTTATGTGCTAAAAAATTCTTCACTGCCTACCTCAGGCTTAAAGAGAAATAACGTAACAGGTTTTCTTGTTTTATTTCTGCAGGCAAATGTGCTAACAGGGCTGGTAAACTTGTCTGTGGACACCCTGTTTGCCTCATCAGTATCTGCCCTTTTAATCCTGATTTTCTATGCTTTGACTTTGTCTGTGGTCATTGGAATTATAGAATTTTATGGTGTAAGGTTAAAATTTTGGTAGGGATGATCGTTATGTCTGCTTGTAAAATGTTTTTTTTTTCCCTGAAAGCTATAACAAAATTATCTGGTTCTGTTGTGCCTTAGAAAGAAAATGTCCTCGACACAGCTCAGAATAGAGGAATCTAACCACAATTACATGATTTTAGCATGAAGTTGATATATGAGTTGTAATGTTCTATGAAATGTGAATATGAATATAGGACATGGTAAACATGACATGGATATAGTTATAGGACAATTGAAAAGGTAGGTTAGTTACTATACTGACATTGATCGTTTGTTGTTTATCCTGTTATTATAGGTTACTTGCATTGCACGAACTGTATTTTCTCTAATAATAAGCACATATATATATATATATACATTTCTTGTAAAGAAACTATATTCACTGAAAATACATTATGTCATGGGGTTATTCCTTAGAATCTTCAGGCTACCAAGGTTCATCTATTCCGTGATGTGATGCTTCTTTGGTTAACTGATTATTGAACTCATGTCCCTTAAAGACCAAGAAAACATCGGGCATGCCCATGACCATGGACTTGGACAAGGACATGCACTTGTATACGTTTTTGTCATGTTGTACGGACCCATTTGGTTTGGCAAATGTCAGTGGATAAATACAATCTACAACTCATAGTGTGCATGGGTATGGTATGTAGTTTTGAAGTTTCTGAGGTGTAGATATTAACATTTATTTGTACAAAGGAACAATACTGGAGATGAAAATCTAGGAAAAACTTAGCCAATCAGTACGAAATATGAATTATGAAAGAGGCAAGGGAGACCGTTAAAAAAGAAAAGAAAAAGCTGAAGAAAAAAAAGGGTAGAAATTAAAATGTGTAGGAAGCTGAGGGTCACATGGATTACCCTGCAATTTGTCTGGCAAATTGGACCGCCTGACCTCAACAGATAAGGCGACAGTTCCCTGTGTTTCTTGTCTCTCTTTCTCTCTCTTGTTTCACACGCCTTCGTAATTTTGTTTTTAATAAAAAAAAAAGAAAAAAACATATCTAGCATGCAAAGTTTGTACTAGTACCATAAGTAAATTACACGTGGCAAATAGCAATTACTCTGACATTTTCCTTTGTTCTATTTTAAGTCACTATGAGAAAATTTTTATTTTCAACAAAAATTTTAAAGTAATTTGTATAAATATTGTAAGGTATATATATATATATATATATTTAGTGATGTTATATTGTAATAGGTTAGTACAAGTTATATTTCGAAAAAAATTATATATAAAATTGTTCTCAATATTTACTTTTTTTACAAATTTACTATTTTTAATACGTTGCAATAATTTAATGGATATATTTTTGCAATATAAAAATCTTAATTATAAATGTCTTTCGCTATAATGGCAGCCTATAATAAGCAAAATTTCATCACATCAGCAATCATTAATTATAAACGTCTCGTAGCAATTTTTAGTTCACAAGGCTTTATTATTTTAAGATTTTTCAGATGATTTTTACTTCTTCGTGCATTTCTTTTCCTCTTTTTTTTTTTTACAAATTAAAGCGGTTAATTTACTTGTTGTATATGCCTATACATATTCTCGCCTATACATTTAACTGTATTTTAATGCCTTATTTTTGGCTTGTATAAGTAATTTAGTACTCTTTTAGTAATTATTCTCATCGTTATTTTTTTACGAACTTTGGGTGATTAATCATTTTCAAATATATATATATATATCATTATTCTTTCAATAATTGTTTTTTGTGCGGTTAATGGGTTTTGCAGTCTTACTCTGATCATTCTCACATTTTCATTTATTTGCATTTTCTGATCATTGGCGAGTCAAATGATAAACAGCCTTGGTAAAATCCAATTTTGATGAACCAAACTAGAAAAATTTAGGAATAAAATTGCCAATTATACTGCGGAGAATGGGTTGTCAAACACATGTTAAGCTTTCCATGTAAAATAATGTGTATGAAAATCTAGGGTACGTGAGCCAATCATTTTTCCCTGCAAAATACAACCCTGATTTGAATGTGAAGGGTAGCTTTTACCCAGCTTGTTGTGTTGTTGGTATGCATAATTCTAAATAGATTTGGGTCCCCCCTACGCACTCTCCATTACTGAGTCTGTGCCAGTGTTGACAGCGTCTATGAAATCGGGAAGACAAACCCAAAACAAGGATGAGTGAAGAGCTTCTTTCTTTTTCCCTCACTTTTTTCTATCACGAAAGAGAAGATCTCCTTTTCCTGCCCCTCTCACGTGCACCGTATCTTTCTTTCTAGGTCCAAAGTCCCTCCCTAACTCCATCTTAACATCTCTTAATTAATCCACTCTCTCTCCCTCTAGTTTCCAATATTTCAAGTCACATTGTTCGGAGGTGTGGATTGTGCAGATTGTACAGAAATGGCTCTTGAAACCCTTTCTTCCAACGAGTTCTTGAACTTCATTATCTATGATACTATATGTGCAACACCTTATAGCAGCCATGACTCTTTTGTGACTAATTTCTCATTGGAAAATAGTTTCAGTTCCCAAGAACAAGCTAGTAGTGCTTTGAATTGCTTTTCAATGGTGACTCCTCCACAATGCCGCTCAAAAGGAGCGGAAGCTGTTGACCGGAGGCCGAACTTGACAGTTCAAGGGAGGAATAAGAGAAGGAGAAAGCCAAGGGTTTGCAAGAACAAAGAAGAGGCTGAGACACAAAGAATGACTCACATTGCTGTTGAGAGAAACAGGCGAAAGCAAATGAATGAGCATCTGTCTGTTTTACGCTCCCTCATGCCTGAATCTTATGTCCAAAGGGTCTGTCTTCTCCATCCTTTCTCTTTTATTCCTCTCTTTTCCTTCTTCTCTTCTTCTCCCCTCAAATGAGTTTCAGGGAAAACGAGTGTTACTCTCATGGTCTATAAGGGTCCTAGCCATTCAAACTCAAGACAAGGAACAAAACTCAATGCTATATTGGGAAACCCTGGCTTATGAACTGTCTAACAAAAAATGGAGGGTTTTATGGCTTTGGAATTAAATTAATGTATCCATATTTCTGGATTGTTGAAATATATATATATATATATATATATATATTTATATTTATATTTATATTTATATTTATATTTATATTTATAGTTCATGACTTTAGAATGTTTTCTTTTTCCTGTTAGCTCCACTGCATTTACCATGTTTTACTGACCAATTACCGAGTCCTTTACTTTTAGAGAAATCGCTACTTCAAGGTTCAACTAATTGATATACCTTGAGTAGTAGAACTGTGATGTGATTTAATCTGAAAAGCTGGAGCGATTGAATTCTAAAGTTCAATAATAGTTTGGCACAATGTTGCAGCAAATTTATCAGAACTTGTCAAGATAAAAAGTTCAGCTAGAATTGGCAATATATTTTAAAAAATCCTGTTATTGTCCTTTGCTATTTCTTTGGATTATTGCAAAAGCTGAAACTATAGAAGAAAAAATTGTTCCTATAAAATTATATGGAATTAGTAATTATAAGGATATTGAAAAAGAGACCAGCTGTTTCCTGTATTATGATTTTTAAATAGAATTTCAGCAGGAGAATCATGATACATACTTACGGTTATTACTTTAATTTGAAGTTCCAACATTCTCATTCCATAACAATGCATGAGTTTAAGATGTTTAACCCTTAACATAAATGATTTTTATTTGTGTAGGGTGATCAAGCGTCTATAGTTGGCGGTGCTATAGAGTTTGTCAAGGAACTTGAGCATCTTCTGCAAACCCTTGAAGCTCAAAAGCTTCGAGTGCTGCAACAAGTACCAGCTGCTGCCAATGAAGAAACCACCAACTCCAAATTGTTATCACCACCATTTGCACAATTTTTTATGTATCCTCAGTACACCTGCTCTCAGATCCCTAACAAATATACATCAAAGACTATGGCATCAACAGCGGATATTGAGGTGACATTGATTGAAACTCATGCTAATCTTCGAATTCTCTCACGAAAAGGTCCCAGGCTGCTTTCCAAGCTTGTTGCTGGTTTTCAGTCACTTTACCTTTTCATCCTCCACCTTAATGTCACAACCATGGATCCATTAGTTCTCTACTCTATCAGTGCCAAGGTAATATTTGCCCTTTTTTCCCCACCGCCTTCATCTTTCTTTTTTAAGAAAAATATCCCCCCACCCCCACACCAATACTCATGGCATAACAATATAATAACATGCATGCATGTAGAACCTTTGAACATTGTTATTCTATTAGAGATGCTAGTCTTCAATTATTGTCATATGGGGGTAGCGGGCAGATACTATCTTTTCCTCTCCTATACTTTGTCTTTCCCTTGGAAGGGCAAAATGTCATTTTCCATAATTTAAGAAAAATCAAATAAAATTTAGACGACCTTTTGAAGTTATAGTGGTAATGGCCTTAAATAATTTTCTTATGTGAAAAATGGCAAGAAGATCGTTTTTTTCTCATTTATTATTACTGCTGTTTCCTTTCTCTAGTTAATTTTTTCTATATAATTCAAGAAAATTATACCGTTTTAGGCTAAAATTTGAAACATTCTAAATGCAGGTTGAAGAAGGATGCCAACTCAGTTCAGTAGATGACATAGCAGGGGCAGTTCACCACATGCTCAGAATAATTGAGGAAGATGCAACTGCCATATGTTGATCAAATTGTGCTAGCCACCTAAATTACCTTCTGGTTTTGTGGTGAAATCATCAAAATGCCACCCACTTTTATTTTTCATTTTAAGTTTTTTCTTGAGAGGGGTTTTAGATGGGTTCTCGGTTTGGGTTTGTTACTTTGTTTAGTGTTTCTGCAATTTTTAGTTTTTAGTATTCCCGTATGTAAATAGCTTGAGTCAATGAAAAGTGCATGTGTTTCGAGTTTTTCTTAGGCATGACTTGTCTGAATGTTCATATGGTAAATCAAGAAGGATGCTGATATTGGGAGTGTATGAAATACAAACTTTATTACTACTTTTTTTTTCATTAAATGTCAATGGGATGTTGAAGTCACATACATGCCCATAACATGATTTCTTTTGCAATATGAACCTGCTGGCAATTAAGGATGAGCATTGGCATTGGGACGATGTTAAGGGTTTTTCTGTCTTTCCACAAAATATATTTCCAAATTACTCCCCCATTGACATATATATATATATATATTTTTTTTGGCCAATCTATATATTTATTGATAGTTGAGGCAGGTCATTTTTACTCGTATGTTGTAGTGAAAAATTGCCAGTGAAACACCTTCGAAAAATCTCGCACAAATCTGTTGTTTTTGTTTCAATACTTCATAAGAAAATCCAACAACGTAAAAGCACTAATTGATTGGCCGATTTAACGTATATCTCATCTCTCTCTTTCTTATACGGGAGACAATTTTTTCTAATTTCAGCTGGTTTCGATGATGAAGAAAAATGCAAGGTCGACAGACATTGCAGAGGTTTAGTGCAAGGGGCCGGGAAGGACATTGGGAAAAGTGATATGGTTTTTGTAGTTTTACAAGAGAGAGAAAAAAAAAAGCTGAGAGCTAGAGGGTTTTTGTGGGATTCGATGCATTTCAGCCTTCACTTTTGTTTCTTTGTGTAAGCATGAATCTGCGCCCCCTAATTAAGACTTGTGTCTTCTTGTGTAAACTGGACAGGGCCGTCGGATGAATCTTGACGTTTCTTTTGGTCTTCAATTTGTTCACCTCGGAACTCACACTTGGGCCACAAGGAGCAGCTTGTTCTCGAACCCATCATGCTATTGGACTTCATCTTGGTCTGAACTGAAGATCCTTTTGTTTAACTAAAACAGAATCCGAACGTAATGGGCTGATTTACGTTTTTCCCCAGAGCTCTATCTCTTTATCAGTCTCAAAACATTTTTAACTAGGATTGAGATGACCATATGCATGTTCCATAATCATTCATACATGGGAGACTGGGGAGGGAACCCATCACTTGAGTAGATTTATTTTGTTGGTCCATTTTAAACTTCCTTCACATTTTGGTAATCTGTTGGGAGGTGGACCAATTAGGACCATTGCTTGTTCCGAAAAACCCTGTCAATCCAAAAAATTCTTGTTCCATGATTAGGTCGAAATGACTGTATGTCTATGAATACTCTCTCCTAGTGACTAAAGTTTAAACATATATTCAACTTATCCAAATATATATCCTACATATTCAACCGATAACGGGTGTATAAATGTAAGACAATCATACAAATCTATCTCTTCATAATTATACGGCTCTGAATATGATCGGTTTCTGCCCAAAGGCTATATTTAGAGAGGAATAGAAGGATCTCTTATTCTTCCTTGCCTAGTATGAAAGAATCCACCACTGAAAAAGGATCCCTTCATTGTAATAGGGTTCATTGCACAGTGCAAGACCCTCATTTTATTGCTAAGCTTACTGGCTTCTGCTGATTATTTTGATGATCCAGCAATACCTGATAAGAGTGGCACTCTTCATCTCTAGTGTCTTCATCTTGATTGATAAGCAAAATATCAGCAACTGAAAGTTGGGTTTGACATATAAGATCCATGGAAATTGATCTTCTCATCTGTTGATAACCTTCTTCTCTAATCTCAATTATGGTATTTCTTCCTTGATCAGTGCCTAAATCGCTCAAAGCACGTGATGGAGTCTTTGGCAATCCACCAAGATAGATCTGAACTCTGCCCACCTCCTGCATACTCCTCTTTCCTGAGTCTTGAGCAGCAGCTACATTTTCATTTGTCACAGATTGCCTATCCTGCAAAAATTCATTCCTGGAGGACTTTCTGTCACTGGAGGTGGCAATGGAAGTGATGAAGCACTAATAAAGATTATATTTGCACGACACAAAGGGCAATTTGAATGAGACCTAAGCCATGTATCAATGCAATGGACAGGAAAAGCATGACAACACTTAGGCAAGAGCCTTAAACTCTCATCTTCTTGGAACTCAATGAGGCAAACAGAGCAACCTGTTCCTTCAATCAAGCCATCACCCTTTTTATATTTGCAAACTGTAATGGACTTGATAAAGCCTCATCCAAACCGGTAGTTGAAGTCTGCCATGGCTCATGGGCAGCTGGGTTGTAATTTGTCTACCCATGCTTCACCAAGTCATGATTCTCTCTTCTTCTTGTTCCCACAATATTTAGATATTATCGTATAGTAACTTGCTAGAAGAAAAGCGCTTGCCAGAGTGCCAATGATTGCAATCACAAGAGGGGAGAAATTTCGGCCTGAATCATCATCAGGGAATTCTATGGGAGGTGGAGGAGGGAAGATGATGTGGCCCCATTGTGGTTAATACAAGCTACAAAAGCCTTGAGAACAGTCTAGTGTTCACGCATGGCACCAAGGTTTTTGGGTTACCAACAGACCCCATGACAGGTGAAGAAAAACTCCACAGAATTAAACTTACTATCACTTCTAAGTTAAAATATGATAACAATTTAGATCATTGGCATCCAACCCCTTGGACAACAAAGATAAAAGCTGGAATAGCCCTTTAGACCGCTTAGTGAAACCACTGGAAATTTACAAAAACCTGTTCCTAGGGGCTCTTCAGAAATATTATGATCATAGAAATGAGTTAGTAAAGAAAGCATCAAAACGAATACCTTACTAATAATGCAAATAAGATATGGATAGAATCGAAAGAGCAAAATATGATGCAGTTCAATTGGCCGCTAAATGTGCAAAAGAATGCTAGGCAAGAGCAGAGTCTAAGCCTGTGAGGGGCTCCTCCTGTAATGCAAATTTCTTGAAGAGACAAGAAAGAGTTGAAAAGCTGCCAAAGCCCAAAGGGGCTTACATGGAAAGCAAAGCAAAGACAGGGAAACAGGAAGAGAGGTGGAATTGTTGAAGCTTGTGATGACTTCCATGTAGTCTCTAACCGTAAGGGATACAAAATTCTGAATACCCGAATGAGCTGTCATGAATTTTAAAACTTCTTGTCTTTTGGAATTAAGGAAAGTGATAATCTAGCTTTTTACCATGACAGAATTTCTGCCTAAGACCTAATATTTGAAAGGGTTTGGATCAATACAATCTTTATTTGCATCTTTTTTGCACATTCCAAAGGGCTATTTATATAAACTTCAGATAATCTTAAGTAACCACAGATTGCTCTTAAAATTAATTATCCTCACAACAACCCTACCCCTACTCTTTCTTCTAACCAACCCTCTCATTAGCTCCCAGTAGATGCCAATGGATTAGCAAAGCAAAGTGTTAAAATGGAATATCTTTAAACAATTATCCAATAAAACATAATTCCCATCCAAATCAATTGAATACATGTAATACATAATAAATTATATGAAAATTTTATTGAGACACAAAGAAAAGGAAAAATATAGAGAATGTAAACACTTACAGACCACTTCTATAGGCAGGTGACAAAACTTTCTGACTTAAGCCTCATTTGTACCATAATCTCAAAAAGATGGAAAGATGAAGTCCAAGTGAACTTTGTGAAGATCTAAGACTCTTCAGTTTGGCCATCAGGCTCCTTTTCCTCTGTCTTTTTACCTCCAGATTCATCATCTTTCCTTTCACTGAATTTTAAACGTAGTGGCCGATCCATCAATTCCTGCAAAATGAAGAATGATGAGTTTGTTGAGTTTGTTCAAACATTTCTTTTTAACAATGTTTTCAGTCAAGCTGATATATAAAGAAACTTATGTAAAAATTATTCATCAACAAAATGCATAAATGCTTAAAATCAAAAGTAACAAAGAATATATTCACAATTTAAGTCCATAGCAAATATTCTCATGCTATTTGACATCAAGTGAAGAAACAAATTTTAGTTTATAGCAATATTCTCAATATTCTTGACTTCTATGTTAAGATTTCTTTACTGCTTATGGTTGTTTTAAGTTAGTATATCAGCTAGTCAAAAACTTATGATTTAGACCGGAGACTAGAAAAGGAGACAAATGCATAGGACTCTAGCAAGAACTGTAACAAGGTGGCAGTTGAGTGAGTGAACAAAACTAAGTAGGAGTTAGAAAAGCATTACAGTGACTACAAAGACAAGTTTCTGTGAACATAAATTCAAAACTTTATAAATATTGAGAGGAATATCAAACTCATGTCCGAGACAATCTCATAATACAAAAGAGTTCTAATCAAATCACCTTCATAAGCCTCAAAACCAATGTAGTTAGCCTGGTAATCATATTAGCCAACATTAATGGTCTATGGATAGTGCTCTCCAAGAAGAAGCAGAAAACAATGCAAAATGATGCAGAGTACAAAAAATATAGATTAAATTTGCTTACCTTCCCATTTAGAGTAGAAACTGCGGCCTCAGCATCCTCCTTTGTGGCAAAGGAAACAAAGCCATACCCGGCAGACTGTCCTGAAGGAGTACTAAAAACAACCTTAGCTGAAACTGGGTTAAAGGCAGAGAAAAATTCTCTGATATGACTTGACCTTACTTTCCAAGCAAGATTCGACACATAAAGCTTATGGCGTGTCTCACGGTAAGGAACAATCGGCTGTGGAGAAGGTGGTGAAGGTTTATTGAATCTCTTCGCAAACTCTACCCTAATTATTCTCCCTGACACTTCCTGCACCATAAATCATACTTAAATATGCAAAATGAGATGCATGCAATGGAAAGCAATTCTCTTATTTAACTCTTGATGATAATGTCTTCCTCCCTTCTTTTTTTTTTCAGTTTCTGCTCCATCACAAGCTCAAACAACAAGGGTAACCCTCACCCATCCAAACCAACAATCCCATGGCACCGGCTCAAATCCAGAGTTTTAAAAGTATCTCTCATTTAAAAGAACAGGGCCTAATTCACAGGACACAATTGAATATCTTAAAAATGATAATCATTCATATATCCACCTGAAAAAGACTATCTCACAAGATTTCATTTCGTGCAATATAACAATGAAAATGTGCAAAACGATTTACATTTTCCCTAAGCAAGTAAAAAACCAAGTTGATTAGACTTTCAGAAAATACATGGCAGACCCTAGATAAAGATTGTGATAGGAAAGAAAACGTCAACTAAACAAAGAGTAAATTAAAAAAAAAAAAAAAAACAACTTACATGAGAATCGAGTTTATCGACAGCAGCCTGAGCTTCTTCACCAGAAGCCATTGTCACAAATGCGAAGTTCCTGCTTCTCCCATCTTTTTGCTTTATAATCTAAAAACGAACCCACATAGCAAAAAAACCCATATCATAAATCATCCCAAAAAGGTTTTTTTTTTTTTTTTTTTTCTGACAAAAAGAGAAACCTATAGTTTTATAGAGAAAAAAAAAAAAAGAACCTCAACGTCTTTAACGTTTCCACATTGGCCAAAGAGGTCTTTGATATCAGCAACCGTAAAAGACCACGGCAAATTAAGCACAAAAAGCTTTCTTTTCACATTGGGTTTCTGGGTTTTCTCTGTTTCAGCTTCGACGCCCACTTCTTGCACTGTAGAACAGAGTAGCAAACCTAGCCTCCTTTGGGTGCTGATTCGTGGAGAGGTGGAGAAATTATGGAAAAGCACAGGGGTAGACTTGGAAATGTGGAAAGTTAAGGAAGAGAGTATTGCGATTTTGGGACATAGGAAGGGCTTAGAGGAAGAAGAAGGGCAACGTGACCAGGAGAGTGCTGCTACTGCTTCAACAGCCGCCATTGCTATTGAGTTTGGGTCAGCAGCAAAGATTTCAACTTTCTATTCTGACAGAAATATTTCAACCTCAAGTTTCAATCAGTATAGACTGTGGATAAGAATGAGTTGAGATTTTATTTGATGGATCAATATGGTCATTTTGTTTTTTCTTTTTTTTTTTTCGTTTCTCCTTTGGATAATTATAGCAGTAGTTCTCAAGAATCAAGAAAATGAAATTACAGAAATTGAGGGAAAATAACAAAAAAAAAAAAAAAGGCAGAAGTATTAAATTGTTGATTTATGGTGATAAATATTGTTTTCATATTTACTTGATACATTCAAAATTTTTCATCTGAATTTTTTTTATTTGCCATTAGAGATGTAAATTTTAATCAAATCTAATAAAATATTTAATTTTTTTTATCTTAATAAGGGTGAGAATGGACATTAAATTTTAAAAATAGGATAAAAGTGGGTATAATTTTAAATTTTTTATTTGCTATGAATATAGATATAAGGATGAAAAATATAATATTTATCTCGTACATTTATCATAAATATTATATATATATTTAATAAATTAATTTTTATTTAATAATATAAATTTTATTTTAAATTAATTAAAATTAATATATTTATAAAAACTTACATAAATCTATAAAATAAAAACAAAAATATTTTTATTTTAGCTTTTTTTAATGTTACATATGTTATCTATAAAATACTCACGAAAATAAAAATATGAGTATGAATCAGTTTGAAATTATAAATACAAAAATAAATATAATATAAAAAATAAAAAATAAAGATGAAGAATACTTTATTCCTTATTTGCAATGTATATTTTTACTACTATTAAAACTTTCCCTTGTGAATTTCGAATTAAGGGAGAATTCATTGGTGTTCATAATCAAAATATTATTGATAATATTTACTTCTTGAAATCAATCATGATTTTTTTTTTTTTTTTTGTGATTTCAAAATTCAACTCTTCATATGAGTTGTGTCATCCACAATTTGCATTGAAAACATCATCAAAATCTTCAAAATCAATTATTGAGAACAAAGAATAATGAAGCTATGTAGTATACTAGCAATTTATGTACTTAATCCTTAATAAACAAGGTAGCTAATAGCAATGTAATGAAAAGATCATCCACTTCATATTAAGCTCCCTTCTTTGGCTTCTTAATTTAGATACTTGGAATTCTATGTGGCATGTTTTAAGTTACCCTAGTTTCACATAAATAGTAAAAGAATTCTTTTGATACATTATCACTTAAATTTTTTAATTTTAAACATCGAATTAAAAAATTAACACATTTTATTTTTTAATTTTTAATATATTTTAAAAAATTTACATCACTTCGCTAATTTATTTTTAAAATCTAAAAATTTTATTGAATATGAATAAAAAATTTATCATAGTAAAAAATATATCCATGACTAGATGCCACGTCATTTTATACAAAATTTACCCTCCCAAGAAGAAAAAGATAAGATCCAAGTAAATTTGAACCAGCCAAAAGAAACCACATAAATTTTTAAGAAAATTTGACTTAATTTAGCTGGATATAGATAGATTTTGTTTTAATCCAAAAATGAAAAACCCAAAACTTGTAAATATTTATTAAGGATTAGTTTTTTAGTGAATGGATAGTAAAATTTTCAATCAAGGACTCTTAGGTCTTCTACAATATCTTGACAAAGACTCTCTTGTAGTTGCTATATAACTCCAACCATAACAGTCTCATGGTATCCCAACATCATTGACTTCTCTTGATCTTCCTTTAACCTTGGTTATTGCAGTGAAGATGACTATCTGCTTTGAGAAGCCTGATCAACTAATTGGTATTTGATCTGCTTTTCATCTCCATCCCAATTTTTATTTTAGATTCAATGATGATTATTTGTTTTAATCTTAGCATGCACTCTATGGTTCTCAGTTACTCAAGCTAAGGGGATGAACATGCAGCCTGATGCTAATCAATTGGTATCGAATGAAGAATTTGCAATGCTTGAAAACAATGCTTTCGGAAACTCATTCAGGTAAATTATTTTCTTAAACTTATTTTGCAGGTTTCCCAGAATATTATCCGATTAAAATTCTCAATATTTGGTCAAATATGATTTGACAGGGATTATGAAGCAGATGGTGCAAGGAAAGACATTGTTGAGCAGCACTACAAATTGAGTCATATTAACCAAACATATGATTTTGTAAGTAAAATTTTTGTATATAAATAACAATATGTTTGGACAAAAGGGATCATGCATGGTGTAATTGAATAATTACTGATGGGAAATTTAATACATTGATTGCTGCAAATTACAAACGTATAGGTGAAACGGATGAGGGAAGAATACAGGAAGCTTGATAAGGCAGAGATGGGAATATGGGAATGTTGTGAACTTCTCAATGAGGTTGTTGATGACAGTGATCCTGATTTGGATGAACCCCAAATTCAGCATTTGCTGCAGAGTGCTGAAGCAATCAGAAAAGACTATCCTAATGAAGACTGGTTGCACCTGACTGCTCTTATTCATGGTAAAAAAAAAAAAAAACCCTGCCTTGTTTTATTAAGAACAAATTCACTTTATTTATTCTCTTTTGTATAGCCCCTGATTATTGGATTCCAATGCATTTTAGATCTAGGAAAAATCCTTGTTCTTCCAAAATTTGGAGAGCTACCTCAATGGGCTGTTGTTGGTAAGTGTATTTGTTTTGAATTTAAAAAGTATTTTCATATTTCCTCTTGTAATTTTAATTGAAAATTTAATTTCAATGTAACAGGTGATACATTCCCTGTTGGATGTGCTTTTGATAAGTCTAATGTTCATCACAAGGTTTTTAAATCTTAGCATTGATCTTTAATCATTTACCAATTAAACATATTCGTGTTATATGATCTAACTCAGATGAATATACAATTCATAAATTTTGTGCTGCAGTATTTTAAGGAAAATCCTGACTTCAACAATCCAATTTACAACACCAAAAATGGGGTCTACTTTGAAGGATGTGGACTAGACAATGTGCTCATGTCATGGGGCCATGATGACTATATGTACATGGTATACATTTGACTCCATTAATCGTCCCTCCAAGCTAAACTCATTCAATCCAGTCTTGCCACAAAGTTTAGTTAGTACTATATTATCCATCTCATAATTTTTAGGTGGCCAAGGAAAATGGAACCACATTGCCTTCTGCAGGATTGTTCATCATCCGATACCATTCCTTCTACCGTAAGCATTTTCGATGAAATTTAATTTTCTGATCATGCTATTATCTACTCACAAGTATTTTCTGATCAATTTCGCTAATGATGTTGATTTCCTTCTCGTCTCACTTGCAGCATTGCACAAGTGTGGAGCATATACCCAGTTGATGAATGAGGAGGATAAGGAGAACATGAAATGGCTTAAAGTATTCAAGTAAGTGTCCTCTTCCTTATTCAATTTGAAATGGCTTATTTTTCGCAATTGTTTTGTGAAAAATTAACTTATTGACTTGCTTTTCTTGACAGCAAATATGACCTCTACAGTAAGAGCAAAGTTCTGGTTGATGTTGAAGAGGTCAAGCCATATTATGAATCCCTTATTGCCAAGGTAAGCTCCATTTCCTTTTTTCCTTACCAGCTATCAGTACTTACCTCTTCAAAGTTGATTCATTAATTTATCTCAATTGAAAAAAAATTGCAGTATTTCCCAGCTAAGCTTAAATGGTGAAACTTCCAAATCCTCAACACAGCATTGCTGGAGCTGCAAAACTAATAGTCCTGACTCCTGATCTGATGAGAGATCACTAGGACGACTAGAGGAAATAAAATGTCAATTTAAGAATCTCTTTGTATATTTTAATAAGATTCTTGAATTCTTAGAAATTATTTCATCAACTGTTACGGAAATTTAGATTCAGCTGTGAATCGAAATTGCATGGCGTGTCTCTCGTAAAGTCTTGAAACCAGTCCAAAGTTGCAAGAAAGAAGCAAAGCCTAAAGGCAGCAGGAAAGCAAAACCAAAACACAATCTTTGCAGGGTTAAGCCTAAAGGCATTTTGGACATATTAACTGTCTTCTATCTAGTAGTATTATTTTCTTTTTCTTTTCTTTTTCCTTAATAAATAATAAAGTTGTGGACAACTAATCACTTTTGTTTCTTTTTCTTCCCATATCCTGTACAAGGTATTGCTTTTCAAAAAGTGGTACTAAAAGTGATTATACTTGAAGATCTAAATACACGTTAAAAATTGTTATCAATTGCTTTAGTGCTTTCATGGATCCAGGGCAAAGAACAAAAACATGTGGGGTTGCATAACAGAAGCTTTATCATGTACCTATTTTTTCAACACGGCATATCTTTACTCGAGGCAATTCCCTTTCTTTTCGTTGTTAGATCTCAAAACAACACCCAGATAGGTTTTCACTGAATAATTCTCCAAACAAAATGGCATTAAGCAACAATGTGATCGGTGCAATCAACTTTGTTGCTATGCTGCTCTCAATTCCAGTCATTGGTGCTGGAATCTGGCTTGCAAATCAACCAGATAATTCTTGTTTGAAGATTTTACAATGGCCTGTTATAGTTTTAGGGATCTTAATCTTGGTTGTAGCTCTAGCAGGCTTTATAGGAGGGTTTTGGCGCATCCCCTGGCTCCTTATTGCTTACCTTGTTGGCATGCTTATCCTCATCATATTGCTTGCATGCTTGGTAGTTTTCATCTATATGGTTACCATTAGAGGTTCAGGCCACCTTGCACCTAGTCGCACATACTTGGAATATCATCTGGAAGACTATTCAGGCTGGCTTCAACGAAGAGTCAGAAGTTCTTACAAGTGGGAGAGGATAAAAGTCTGTCTCAGCTCAACAGAGATTTGTGCCCAATTGAACCAGAGTTATACAATGGCTATAGATTTCTTTAATACTCATCTAAGTCCCATAGAGGTAAATCTCAGTTTATCTGCTATTAGTTCCAAATTATTCCTTAAATCTCAATGCCAGATGTGGAGTTCTTATGATTAATCTTACTGCTTGTTACAACAAATACATGAATACCTTCAATATTAAATTGCCAGACTTGTCCTAAACTGGTTATGCTTGAGAATGCTCTAAGACCACGTTTTCTAAGAATAAAAGTAAAGAAGAATTAGGCATGCATGTTAAGGTAACTAGGTTCTCCAACGATGAGTTAATCTTCTTTTCCTAAGTATACTCATCTTTAGCTTTATTCTTTATGTTTTTTCTTTACAGTCTGGATGCTGTAAGCCACCAACTGAATGTGGATACACGTTTGTAATCCAACAAACTGGTCAGCCCCATTAATAACATTAGCAGGACCCCGGGATTGCATACAGTGGAACAATGAACCAAAGCGCAGCTCTGCTACAATTGTGTAATTCTGTGCAAAGACAGGGATTAACTTGCAATCTGAAAGCGGAATGGAGAAAAGCTGACATAATACTGCTTATAACTCTTATTGCGTTTGATAGGTGGTATATTTGGATAGGATGTTGTGCCTTTAGGAATGCCAAACTGAAGGAACATATTTAGACGCTTACCAAAGAAGGCGTATACCTGAAGAATCAGTTAACTGTAAGCTGGTAGTGGTGCAATTGGGGCGTCGTTCTGAATGGAGTTTGTGGGTTTGTGACCTTTGTATAAGCAAATACTTTTCCTTGTTACATTTGGTTGAAAAATGTGTTGGTACTGATTGTTTTCATTCCAGCGTAGAAATTTATGCTAAGCAGTGATGAGCTGTGTGCAATATGGAGAAAAGCTGACATAATACTGCTTATAACTCTTATTGCTTTGATATGTGTATATTTGATAGGATGTTGTGCCTTTAGGAATGCCAAAACTGAGGACATATTTAGACGCTACAAACAAGGCTACACGTGAGACTTAGTTAACCGTAAGCTGGTAGTGGTGCAATTGGGGCTCGTTCGAATGGAGTTTTGTTTTTGTGACTTTGTATAAGCAAATACTTTTCCTTGTTACATTTGGTTGAAAAATGTGTTGGTACTGATTGTTTTCATTCCAGCGTAGAAATTTATGCTAAGCAGTGATGAGCTGTGTGCAATATGCGGGTGGGGTTCAGGACTAATTGTCAATCACTGTCTGACAATATATAGAAAATGCCTGCAATATTTCAATGACAAAAACTAAGAAATAGGTCATAGGGTCACTTCTGCCTCTGTGCATGTAAATCTTTGTAGCTAATTTTGAATATTAAACAAGATTACTTTTCCAGGAAAGCATGAAGCATGGGGGCAGAACACCTGAAATTCCGGTTTTGGAATTTGGAAAACAAAGTAGAGTTGAGACTAACCAAACGATGTAAGTATGGCTGGAAGTCGTACTCGTCGGAGAAATAATTCTCCCAAATGATCTTCAGCTTCATGCTAGCACTTCTAAATCTAACTATATATATTCATTTAAAACCCACTTTTCAGAACCATTCTAGCATAATATAAACTACTGACAAATATTTTTACATGCTCGAGAACTATAAATTTGTTTGGTTTTGGCCCCATGTTCTAATCCAAGTAAACAACAGGAATCCTAACTGAGGCATTTGTCCTGGATAGATACTTTACTCCTGATTGTGAATTGTTAATGGATCCTGCAACCTTTACATTGTTATTCCTGAGTATCTTGCTTCAGATAATTCCCAAAGACATGATCCTATGCATTTTTCCAGGTTCTAAGGACGTTATGCTTTGTTAGGATTAGATAAAATAATACAAATTGGGCTTGCAGAATGTACAACAGGGGAAACTGAAGCTCAACTGTGCAAAAAAGGGGTTCAATTCATCGTGATTCGTGCTTCTTTAGCGGGCCTAAAATTGGAAAATACAAGCTCATGTCGTAATCATTTTCTTCATTATTTTTGTTCATATTTATCCTTGCTTTAAGCTATTCCATTTCCTTTACACCATTAGCATTAGATCTCAGACAACAAACCATCCTCAGGAAGATCTTCTCATAATCCTGTCACCGAGATGGCAGCAAATAGTACCGTCATTGGTACCATCAACTTCATCACCTTGCTTCTCTCGATTCCAATCATTGGTAATGGAATCTGGCTCGCAAACGAACCAGACAATTCTTGCGTGAAGATTCTGCAGTGGCCTCTTATAATTCTAGGAATATTAATGTTGGTTGTGGCTCTATTAGGCTTCGTAGGAGGGTGTTGGCGCATCACCTGGCTCCTCATCCTTTACCTTGCTGCAATGTTCATCCTTATGGTACTGTTTGCATGTTTGGTTGTCTTAATTTATTTGATCACCAACAAGGGTTCGGGGCACCCAGCGCCAGGTCGCACATACGTGGAACATGACTTTGATGATTTTTCTGGTTGGCTACGTCGAAAGGTCGTGAGTCCTAATAAGTGGGACCGGATAAGAGCCTGCCTTAACTCCACGGATATGTGTTCTGAGTTAAACCAGAGATATCGCATAGCTCAGGATTTCTTCAATTCTCGGTTAACCTCTATACAGGTAACTTTATTATTTCATCTTTTAAGTTTCAGTTGATTTATTTTTCTCGTAATTTCCTTAGATAATGAAACCAATTCCCTGTCTCATCTTTCTAAACTTGCAATGCATAAGAAAAACAAAGAATTAGACAGAGCAATGTAGTTTGATTCTCCAACCATGAAAAATTCTTTCGTTCTTAAATTTTTGTGTTTTTTCTTCACAGTATGGGTGCTGCATGCCCCCAGCTGAATGTGGGTACACTTACATAAATCCAACATATTGGCTTACTCCCAACAACACAGCAGCGAGTATGGATTGCTTGCAGTGGAGCAATGATCAGATGCAACTTTGCTTCCATCGCGATTCATGCAAAGCGGGATTACTTGCCAATTTGACCAAAGAATGGAGAAGAGTAGACATAATACTGTTCATTACTCTTGTTGTTTTGATATGGGTATATTTGGTGGGATTTTGTTGTGCCCTTGGGAAATCTAAAACTGGAGATACACCTCCCAGACGCAAGAAACAAAATACATAAAACCTTTCTTCATGTAGTTAGTACTCACTAGTTATGAGATTGTTCTTTTTACTTTTTTTATTTTTTTTTACAATGTCAAGATGGAAGAGATATTATTTGCCATGATAAGTAATTAATATTGTTATGGCACTGCTGTGTCTTTGCGTGATTTGTGGAGGCACCGAAAGGTGATTGTTTTTCTATCACAAGGAATAGCAGGCCACCATAAAGGATTTGTGGGGTTTCATCTCCAACTTTGTCTTTTCTTTTAATAATTAAAATTAAAAATTACTCTTTAAAGGCAATTATTCATTACTTACTAGGACTTTCTAACTTTCTATCCCTGGAACCTGTTTGCCTGAATCATCTCTTTGCCACTAAACTAGTCCAGACAAGCGAAGAAGAATTTGAGCCGGGCTTCCACGTTTCATCACAAACCTGAATCATCCATACTCCAATTCAGTCCAAACAAGCGAAAGCGGATTTGGGCTTCCACGTTTCATTACAAACTTGTACCCTAGGTGCTCACGTTAAATTTAACAGTAGAGGCCAAAAACTTTAAAACTAGACAGACCCATTTTTGTTTGCTATACTAATCGGATCTTATCATTTTATTGGATCTAAAACCAGCCCAACCTCGACGGCTAGAAACCTAAAGCTCAAAAACATCTCCAGACCAGAACGTCTGTTCTTTCATTTCTTGGAGTGCAAGTAGAAAATTTTAATAAGCTGAATCTTTGGAACCTTTATGAATAAAATTGTCTGCTTTACATGGACAGTAGCAATTATTATCGTAGGCTTCGCTTATTGTCCGAAACTTAGGAAACAACAAGAATTCCCAACAGTGGAGAGCATTTGCTGGATAGTTTGGTGTAAAGTAGTTCTCATGCTTATATTTGGCCATATTTCAGTGTCCCATTCCAGAGAATTTAGCAATGAATCAATTGCATTTTGGACTTTGGCATAAAAAAAGTTATGGTCAATAAGCAATTTACCAGATTCTAATAAAACTAATGCTTTGATAACATAGGTAGATTTTCTGTCAAACATCAGCAATCGACCATTTAAATCTGAGAAATTCCTTGTTTGATTCACTGAAGATTATATATCCCAAACTTGAGCAATTTAAAAAGGCATGGTAGCGGATTGTGGTAGTGGTATGCGGACTTGATGAAACTTTAGTGGACATTAAAGAATCCATGTCCGGGTATGTTTGAGCCATCCGTTTCTTACAAGTCTGAAGGACACATCCCTAGAGAAAAGAAACTCAGGATTAGCGTTCAATTGAGACAAATCTCGTTTTAAGTCCTATGATCATCTTAAAGGGCCTAGGATTCTCATAAGAAAATAGCATTCATGTCTGCCAAAATGGAGGCAATTACAGGGACTTGACTCGTGTAAAGTTAAGTCAATTGCTGAAGGCTGAAGTCTCGTACGTACTAGCCAGAGCGAACAAGCAAGGGAAATTTCCTCGCCACAAATTGCACTTCACGCGTAAGTTTGTGGAGGGGTTGGAAGCACTGAACTGCTTTAAAAGTGGGTCACTGATAGACTCAAATTCTAAGGCTTCTAAATGTAAAACAATGGTAATGGAGAGTCATGAGTTCATCAATGAAATGAACATGCTAGTTGACTTTAAAACTATTACCCCACTTCATCTTACAATTTCAGGTCAATATAATTGAACACGAATGAGGATACGAACTTTGCATACCTCAAAATTTGAAATTGCCAATAGGAACAGGTTTTAAAACCAGAGATGTTTTCGGTTAAGATGTAACTGATCCTACTCCTTCCAATGGTTAAGGCTCATGCTTGTAGAAATTAAGATAAAATCCAGTCATAAAATGTACCAATAATATTATCCTTGTTGTTCCAAGCCTGCAATCTGGCTTTTCACAACACTATTAAGACAGTTTTATTATGAACAGTCTGTAATCCAATATGACATGCGGTGCAGCTGTGTGTTGAGCTAACATCAAATCTATGATATAATTAGAAGCAATTTTACATTTAGTACTTAACCCGTGACAAATACTTGTGCTATATTTATATACATCCTAGGCCAATCATTCATATTCCATAAACATCAAGATCGATTCTTTCGGATTCGCTTTCTCTTTTGGTAGGATTCCATGCCTGAATAGGAGATTCTGTTAATTAAATAAATAACTAGTTATATGGAGCTTTCTTGAGTACTGTTAAATCAATTCATGGTGTTTAACATCAAAATTGACTAATATCTTATTTTAAGGTTCTCAAATTACAATTGTGTCAATGTATTTATTGATATATGAAAACATCATAATCTATTGATATCATAATATATAATATTAATCCTATAAATTGTAATTATTACATCAATGAGATTTTGGCTTAACTGCAAAAAAAAAAAAAAAAAAAAAAAGCTGAAATTTTAAGGTCTCAAATTTATGTCTTATCAATGTGTTTGACTTAATTTTACATTGAATTTGTTTATTAGTATGTTGGTTTATTGATTGGTTGATTGATTTGTTTGTTTAATTAATTTAATGATTTTTTATATAAATATGAGGATTGATTTTAATTATAATTGTATTCGCAACTTCCTAAAAAATTTATAATTATAATATTCCTTGAGATTAATTGACCCACTTAACTCTAATGGGACAGTTCATGTAGGATAACTCCAGTTGGTCAGATATTGCCAGTACCCTACACCTATCCAATAATATCCCAAGTGCCTCCACAAAAACTAGAAGCCACCCAAATCCAAATAATGAAACACAATGGACAGTTTCTCAAAATCATTTACAATTCCAAAGGCGTTTCATTTAGAGGAGATAGGTCCCTCCAAGTTGTGTTTCATTAAGTACAGATTATTGAAAAATGTGACCTCAATCCCAGACACCATGGGATAGAGACGAGGGGTTATCACAAAATTTTTAACAACTTTGGCATTTCATAAAGGGGCCTAACAATTGTAGGTCTAGTTTCCGTTCTTATCCACTTAATAAACATCTCCATCGTCATGGTGACCAAAAAAAACATTTACTTTGGTTCATATTTTACATGGATGGACACCTACAATCTCTTAATCTGTCCACAAGGAAATACAAATCTGTTGATGAGTAGTTGGATATTGTTTTAATTGTTTTAGAATTATGAATAATCCTTGTCCAAGTTTAGTGGAATCGATATTGTGTTTGTCTTGATCAACATGATTTGGGTTTCCTGAAACTTGAAGAGATCAGATAGAGAGAAACTAATGACCGTATGTAGTGGATAAAATTTCATTGAAGACAAAATGTTAATCATGATAAATTTACTACCAGCAATGAATTCCTAATTGTCAATGAAATCAGAAAAATCTTGCAAACTGATCTTTCAATGAACAGAGGTTTCAAGGCAAAATATATATATTTATGATGTTTTATATAGATACTTTATTACCGCTGACAGCATTTTGGCCATATTTTTCGTTGATCTGGACCTATCTTTGGCTCTACCATGTCTCAACTCAAACCCCAATTTTTGTGTTCTAATTTAATTATTTCTTTCAGAAGATCTTCAATTTTGATTCAAATAATAAGGGTTTCTCGCATTTTCCAAACTAAGGCATTTATCACCATTGACTTCATTGAATACGATGCAAGTCCATATCATTATCAGCTGAATTATATAGAGAAAATGTCCAGTAATATTGTTTTATAGGGAAAATTTGGTAAAGTTTTGGTGACTGATAAAGGAAAAATGAACCAATCAATGTGAACAAATGGGTGGCTGATGGACCCACAATTGGGGGATGGAAAAAAAAAATCGTCATCATCATAGTGTGGGCATGATAAGAGTGATAGATGCCTCATGCCTATCAGCTCTATCCTAGCAATAAGCATCTGATCAGATAAGGGTTAGTAAACTAATGACATCATGGCTTAGGTAGATCGATTAAGTTGGGGATCCATGATCTCCATATTCGCTTATAGCAACACCCATTTCATGTGTAATTTATTGCATTAAAGGCAAGTTGAAGGGACAAAATCAAAAGGCAAAATAGCTTCTTAGATCATGCATTATATTTCATATTTAAATAGAAACTTTGGGAAGTTATTTTAAGGACTGTCAATTTATTTTTTGAGAGATAAAAAAAAAAAAAATGAGTGATGAGCATTTCATATCAAAATCAAAATTAAAATTAAATCAAGTCGAAAAGATGTTGGAATGATATCCCATTCGCCACTTCCTTTTCAACTTTATTTTTTTTTCTCCTATGTGATATCCTACAAGGCCAACACTACAGCCACTAAGCATATATATTTGATTGTTTGCTACACCAAATTATGAGTGAAGTTTGCTAATTTGTCGATTTATTCTTTATAAACGTTTGGGGTTAAGAGGTTTTACTTGTCAATTAATGATTTCATTCTAATCATAAAAAGTATAATATTATAATATTAGTCTTTGTGCTCATAAAAAATGAAAATTTAATCTTTATACAATAATAATATGAACAAAATTAATCTCTTTATTTTTTGTATTGTAAAATGGATGACGTAGTTTTACCTAACCCTGTGGTTTTAAACCTGGGTTTAGGCCACATTTTTCCAACCACAAGAGCAGCCAAGGCTTCTTAGTCTTAAAAGTACTTCTTCATTGAGGTGGAACAAAGTGGAAATCGCTGCAGGACTTCAAGTGCTAACAATAGCGGACTGCCATTTTAGTCCCAACATCCGAGGCAAAATTAGGTATAGAGAGAAGAGGGGTTAACTAATAAATTTCGTGAGAAAAGAGGATTAAATAATAAATTTTATGAAAAAAAGTATTATATATATAACGGTGTGAAAATTTTTTTTGAAGGCCATGCCCCATGTTTGCCCTTTAGCTACGTCTAAACTTGGTAATTTATCTTACTGTATCATGTAAAATATTATATTTATATCATATTTTATACGAAAATTACGTGTCATAATTTGTATCGATACAAAAATATAAAATATAAAATTTTTATTTTATTAAATCTATTTATGATTTTTTTAAAATTTTAAACCGTATTATTTTCATATTTTTTATTCATATTATGTCACTATATCGTATTTTAAATTATCGGATCTAATTATGTTCCT